ATGTCAAACGTGGCGTATGCGTAATTTTTCATTTGCCATCACCCGCCGCCCGCGCTCTTCTTTTTTAAATGATTTTTCTCTACGCCCAAGCACTTTTAGCTTGAAAATGAGAAATTAAATTATTTGCTGCTAATGTCTAGAGGAGCGCGTGTAAGGGTTGTTAATTGTGGTGCGGGTGCGGGTGTGCTTGGGTAGGGGTTGGGGTGAGGGTTGTTCTTTTCAAAAGTGCGCAACGGAAATGATACAGCAAAAGCGCAAAGCAGCAGCCGGCACACACACACACCAACACACACACGGCAGCTTGGCCAAAAAGCTGAAATGAAAACTAAAACTCATTTCTGCCAAATTAAACTGAAATGTGCCCCAGCAGCAGCAGCGGCAGCTACAAATATGAGTTAAAAGCAAAACGCTCGAGCACATGTGTGCGCAGTGTTCGCATCTCAAATGTAAAATTAAAAGGCATTTCCGCAAAATGTCAGCGTCATATTGTAAAACATGAGTATTTAATTAGAAAATACTTTCAGGCTGACTCACAGCAGCAGCAGCAGCAGGCAACAGTCAGGACCTGCACAGTTTCCGTTTAGCTGCCCCACTCCGTTTATCTATACACAAGTGTGTGTGTGTGTGTGTGTGTACTAATGAATTTCGCCAGTGAACAAGTTTGTGCTTTTTAACAACTTAACATAGTCGCATATGTTGTACAAAATACCTTTTTCCTTAGTATGGCAAGTGAAAAGCGGTAAAGCGTTGCATTACCTTGGAGAGCCGCGCGTCGCGCAACAGCTGAAAACTTTGCATGTATGCCGCATATTAACACCGAACAACTAGCAACAACTATGAACGTGGGGCAGGGTGCGAGTTTAGTGGCAACACAAAATGTGTTGCCTTAAATTGCCGACAACAGCAACAGCAACAGCAACAACAACAACAACAGCTATACAACGACTGTGCTAATGGCCACGCATTATTCAAAGTCTCGTTCTCAGATTGTCAGCGGGATAAGCAGCGGGTATGGGTGCGAAGGTGGGGTTGGGTGGGGTTTGGATGGGGTTTCTAGTTGTCCACTGGGCATGTCAAAACTCATTTGCCGTTAACGAGCAGCCATTGTGCTTATAAAAGGATTATTTACAAATCACTGACTTTCAAAAATTGTCAACTGCAGGGCAAATGCCTGAGCGCAACCAGAGCCCCAACCAAGCAGCCGCTGGCAAATGCTTTGATCTACAATTTATGGAATTAACCCTTAAGTGCTGCCTGCCGGCAATTGTTGCTGCCGCTGCCGCTGCCGCAGCGACGGCTGCTGCTGTTGATTTCCTGACAGAGACATCAACTTCTCAGTGAATGCTTCATTTCAAGTTGATTTCTTTTAGCTGATTACGCGCCGGCATTACGGAAACAGGATGCAGTGCCACTGATTGTTATGACTACACCACACTACTCAAATACGGGTCTGGGTTGGGGCTGTGCGATGAGTGTGACTTGAGCGTAAATTGACTTGCATTCCATTTAGCAGACACACTGTCTGAGGCCATAATGCTTTAAGCCGTTTAAAGAGCTAGCTGTCGGTAGAAAAGATTGCGAGAGCAAGAGGAAGAGTGGCCGCTCTGACTGGCCCTTAATTGATACCTTTGTTTGCATTGCGGTCACTCTAATTGGTGTTTGCATGCGGCTTGAAGTCTTGTGCAAATACGGGCTGACCAGACAGACGTTGCTTCTTTGTAATTTTGCGTGCGTTCTGTTTGCTCATTAAACGCTTGCAGGCAACAATGGCAACAGCAAGAGAAACAACAACAACCATAACAACAACAAGAGCAATGTCATCAATTAGCAACTGGCCGTCGTCATCGAGTGCCAAGTTTGCGCAAAAAATTGACAGGCTTGAGCGAATTTCGCAGCATTGCGGCACCTAATGAGCAAACGTATAGAAAAGCTCGCATTCAACCATTCTACATATCACGCCACGCCCACTGCTTAGTGGCACTTAGAAGCGCATGTCAAAAGTTATTAGCCTCAGCTCAAATAATTTGCTGTTCTGTGCCAGAAAGCTGATTACTAAATACATAGTACAACATATAAACAAAGTCATTTGGCCAGCTCAAGGGCTCCTCTGGCAATAACAAAATTCGCTGCCAAAAAGTTTTCCTCGCCCGCTGCTGTCGTTGCCAATCCTGGCAAACGAGCATGCGTTCGATTTATATATTAATGTATATATATATATATATATATATATATATACACATATATATATATCTCACTGCATGCTGCCTGCCAGCTTGTTCGATTCCTTGTCAATATCCTTGTACTGGCAACATATTCTTGCCTCATAAGTAGACAACTTTTGCAGCTGTCCTGTCGCTGCCGTCAGATACGTGAGGGCGTTAAACTCATACATCACTTTAGCCTTTATCCTATCTGCTGCTATACTTAACTAACTGCTCTCTGTGTGAGAGTGTGTGTGTGTGTCTATGTGTGTGTGCGTCCTAGTCTGCAACATTTTCGCACATTTTTTGCTAGCTGCGTCTCGCATCTTTGTGGATGTGTGTCAAGAGTTGCCAATGGAAGCAGCTTCTTTATTTAATTTTTTTATTTATTTTTTTTGTTTTCTTTTTGCTCCTGCTGTCGAAGCATTGAAAATAAATTTATAACGTATACGTCATGTGAGCCCCGCGCAGTTTTGCACTTTATTGCATTTGTCGCTGGCATCGCAAAACTTCAATAAATTATTTTATTGCGACAGTTATTTTGGTTCTCAGCGAGATGTTGTTCGTAGTTTTTCATTTCATGGATTCACTTGAGCAGCAGATATATACATATATATATATATATCTATGCTGTGGCATATCTGGCTGCTGTCATCTCGCATTGACTTTGCTTTTGCTACAAATTGCAAATGACTTTATGAATTTTTTCTGTTATGTGACGAACCGACAAGACGAGAAAAAGCCACACAGCTCCACACAGCCATATACAACATATACGTCCTTATATATGCTTGTATAATGAGCTTGCCGTCTATGAAATTGATTCTGTGCCTCGCATAAACTTGGAATTGCATAATAAATTTGTGCAGAATGCATAATGAACGTTACATTTACTCGGGCATATATAAATTATGTGTCTATTGCAATGAATGCGCGTTTAGGAGTCTATAATCAAATACTAAAAGTCAACTTAAATCAAGCCAATAAACGCACAAGTCCAACTTAAGCTAATATCCAGCTTTAAATTTCCATCTAGCAACATCGTCAAAGAATGAGTTTCTTTTTATCCTAGAGGCCAGTCCCAGGGTTTCATTCTTAAATGAAAATTTTCAGGTATTTCCGCATAAAACTCACAAAAAAAAAACACTTGGGAAGCCCATCAGAACTTGACACTTTTCTGGCAAACGAGCGCCCTTAATAAAAAAAAAAGTCAAACAGTCAAGCGGCAATAGCAACAAACAAACAACAACAACCAACACCTTTGGAGCCTTAAGCGCACAATGTAAAAATTACCTCAGTGAAGAGGAAAAAAACGGAAAGAAAGAACCTTCGAGCGGGCAAAAGGCTAGAATGAAAAAGGCTTTGCGCGGGGTGCCAAGAGGCAATAAGTAGCAAAAATTACGCTAAACGCAGCAATTTCCTGGTAAATTGCACAATATACACACACTCACACTCACACACACATACACACAAAATGAGAGCTGTGTGTGTTTTGCCTAGGAATATAGCCAGGTGGCGGCATAAAATTCAACTATAAATAAGGCATAAAACACAGAGGCGCAGACATTTTATAATGCGCAGCGTGTCGCATCAATGAGTAGAGCTTTGAAGAGGAGAGGAGTCGGCACGGTTGAAGGTGTCTGAGGGGGAGGGGCACACGGGCTGTCAATTTCCTGCAGAACACGCATGTGTGAGAGGCAGCGTGAGAATTTTAATGCGTGTCATATTTGATTGATGCCAGCGCGGCAAGCGTTGGCCCCACGTTCGTTCTGTCAGCCCTGGCAACAATGTCAAGAGTTCAGCATGGCCCCAAGCGCCACTTCCAAGTGTGCAAAAGTGGCCCCTGCAGGTATGCAGCGGAAAAAGTGCGTGGCGCCAATTTCATGTCCTTGGATAAAAATCATTTGCTTGTCACTGCGCCATGTGTCTGTGTGTGCTGGTGTGTTTATTGTGTGCATGTTGCGTAATTTAGCGCCGCTTCTTGCTTAACAATTTTATCGCTCTCTTGTTTTTTGGCTGTCGGAAAGGGGATTCAGAGTTGGGTTACGCAATTTACTGCCACTAGGCAACTGCCTGCCAAGCTGTAAATATTTGCACACACACACACGCAAGAAGGGGGGTGCTTTTTACAGCTGTGTCGAGACTAGCACACACACACAGACACACACAAGTTTGTGCCATAATTTATGCCAAGACAAACGATGTGGGTGGTGGGAGGCTGGCGAGTGTAGACCAGGCTGTAACTGCATTAGGCGAACGGTTTTAGTGCCCTAACGGGGCCTCGACTTAATAATTTGCGCGAATTGGCGTCAAGCGGCAAACTAATTTGAGTTAAGCGCATTGTACACACACACACACACCGACATACACACACACTTAAAGTACAAACCATATTGTTGACTATTTAAGCTGAGCCTGCAGCTAACCACACACGTTTGCTTTCAACTTACTAACTAACATGGCCTGGTCTCTAACTAAGCCGAATTAAACAATTATTTAGCATTTAAGCAGCTAGCACTCCCTCGACAATGCCCACCGCGCCCACCGCCCAGCGCCAACATCAATAACCATCATTAACCAGCTCATAATAATCGTTATTAGTAGAATATCGTTAATCGTAGACCCTGAAATCCTGTCAAATGGTTGCATCAATCCGCTTCAAAACTGCACCAAATCGCATTTACACCCATATAAAACATACATATGTAACTGCCACACCCACCACCACCATACGCCCACCCACGTTGGATACGTTTATGTAACTTTCATTTTGCTGCCTGTTTTGCTGTTTGTTTGCAGGATGGACAACGCGGCCATTTAGAGGGTCTTGCATCCGTCTATTGCGAATTGTTAATGGCTCCCTTTGGAGATATTTTGAGTGCTTTAGAAAATGCTAGACAAGCAGCATGGGCGGAGCGCAGCCCGCTCCATCCCTCCGGCGGCAGCAGCGGCGGCGCTAGCGGCAGCGGTGGTAGCGGCCTCAGCGGCAGCGCTGGCGGCAGCGGCAGCGCCAGCGGCGGCATGCAACATCGCCAGCAGCATGGCCATCGCGGCCATTCAACGCACGGCGCCGGCCTGCCCAATAGTCATAGTCAGCCAATTTATGTGCCAGGAAAGTACTCGGTATGTATGCCAACAACAACAACTACAACAACAAGAACAACAACACAGACTGGGCCCCTTAGCACAAAAAACGAGAAAAAACAAAAACAAATAAAAAGAAATGACATTATTTGTTTAAAATATTTACAGAAGCGGTTTAAAAAATCAAATTTATTGATGTTGGCGTTGATTTGGCAAACAGAAAAATATAATTTAAAAATTTAAAGAGATATTTTTTATGAATTATATAAAAACTTATGAACATGATTTTGTAAATATTTGTAAATTTGTGCTGTTTTTTTTTTCTCTTTGTTTTCGTTTTGCTTTGCCTTTGCCGCATGTTGCACGCTTACACACTGCATACTTAGCATGTGATCTGAAGATACAATCTCTAATATACACTATCCTCTTGCCCGCCTTTTGCAGCCCTCCAGCTGCTTGTCCGACAAGGAGGAGGATGAGATCTATGGCTTTGGCTATGGCGTCTTTGCGCCGCGAGTGGCACGCGGCGGCTTGACGCAACATCAGCAGCTGTTGCAGCAGCAAACGTTGCAAACGCAGCACAGCATACAGCAACAGCAGCAGCAGCAACAGTTGCAGCAACAGCAGCAACAACTACCAAATGTGCCAGGCCAACAGGCGGGAGGACAGCCCGGAGTTGGACCACAACAGCATCAGACACTCCCGCCAAATGTAGCGCATCTGAACTTTGTGCAACAAAAGTGAGTAGAACAAAATGAGAGCGAGAGAGAAAGTTAGCTAAAGAAATAATTGCAACAAATTTAGTTTCTCAAGAATTTGCAATATTTAAGAACTTTTTCCAGAAAATTTGATAATCAAATATTTTTCTTGTTGCTGTTACAGCTGCCTGAGTCCCCGTTCTGCATATTTCTATGAGTTTCCACCGACTGCAGGTGAGTTGAATTACCAAAAGCCTTAACAATTCACCAATTCCCTGTCCTTTTTTAAATTTTTCTCTCACACCGACACACACTCACTCACACACAAACAGAGGGACGCGAGACAAAGAAGCGCACAACGTTGGCGCGACTGCTGAAAGGCTTAAAAACTGTCAATCGAAGGGATCGTAGCAATCAACAAAATGGCGCACAAGCCAGGGTAAGTTTGTGACTATATCCCCAACTTAAACCCCTAAACCCCCCAGTGCCGCTCCCATTGCAGCTAAAAATTGTACAAGTGGAACTCATTTTCGTGCTTGGTTTTATGACCGCAAGCAAATTGTTTGTCCTTTTGCCTTTCATTTAAATCAACTGCGGTAATTCTTTCAATTTATTTGCGCAGAGTTTTTGCCCCGTTGTAGTCCTTCGTTCATTTCATAATATTTCGTTTTGTAACAATTCCTTGACTCTATCCCCCCTCCCCGTCGCTTGTCGTTTTATGACTTGCTGCTGTGACTGCGTCTTGGCTGATGCCGCTGTACTTAATCTTGGCCCCGGGGACATGTAAATTTTTATGCGCGCCGAGAAATCCCGCGCCAGCTGAAAAGGTTAAAAATGTGCCCGCTGCTGTTCCAGCTCCTGCTCCACAGCTGCTCAGCTGCTGCTGTCATTGCCTGGCGGCCATGTCTACATTGCCACTTCTTTCTTGGCAACAGCAGAATGTGGCACTGTGTGCTGGTTTGTAGCCAGTTTATCTGCGCACTCTCCACAAAGGATACATTCAGGCGCTGAGCGCCTTTGATTAGAGCCCAGCCACCTTTGGGGAGCCGAGCGGCAGTTCTGAGTAGACGTTGCCACTATTCTTGGGGGGCGCACAACAAAAGGAGGCCTGGCAATGAAACTGTGGCCAAAGATAACGCTGCCGTTACAGGACGTCGTCGCCGCTCATAAATAAGCAAGGACATGCATAAATTTTTCATAAGCAACGAGCACACGAACGCAACAAAAAAGCAGAAAAAAAAATAAATAAAAACCAGTTAGAGCGCTCTTCTAGGGAGTGCTCGACTGGGAGATACCCTAAACACAGCGCTGTAAGAATCACTATTTCATCAAGCATTCCTAATTAACTTCTGTATTTATAGTCCGATCCTTATGAAATTTACGGGGCCTATCATCCGAAAGCGCAGAGCTCTAACATTAAATTTGAGATTTTTAAAGTAATTAAGGGAGGTGTCAGGTTGAATACGATATTATGGAAATGAAAAAATATTTCGAAAAATAATGTTTAGCTCATTTTACATATGATATTCTACAATATATATATGCATTTTCAATTCTATAGCTTTTGTAGTTTTCGAGATCCACGAACAAACAGACGGGAGAAATATATTTATCATATGGGGCGGCGATGGCTCCTTTTGCCTGTTACACACATTTAAGCCCAACCATTATACCCGTTTTACCCATCTTCATTGGGCTTAGGGTATAACAAGAAAACAGAATAAATAAAAGAAGCTGCCAGCTGAAAATAAATAATAAAGCGAACGAGTGAGGAAGTGAACGAGCTAAAAGGGCAGCCAAGGGGGGCCTGCAGTGGGAGCGTGGGCTACGTGCAGCAGATAAGCGCAGGAAATGACTAAGGATATGCGCCTAAGTAGCAGCATCCTTCCACATTTAAAAAATTGCCTTTCAAAATATAATTAAACAGCACTCACCTGGCCATGGCCCATGTGTTTCATCGCCTGGAACTCCGCCCAGCTGATTTGCTATTTATGATAAGAAAACAAACGCATTAGATGGCCAACAGCAGGAAGAGGGAGTGAGAGTGGGAGAGGGAGAGGGAGAGGGAAAGCGAACTGGAGTACCCTGAATTGGGTTGCAGGGTCGCAACTCTCAACACTTGGGTCGCGACCCTCGTTGCCCTGACTCGTTATTAATTAAAAATTAAAGCCCGGCTGAAAGGTGTGAAATACAAAATGGCGTCGTAATGGCGATAAAGCACGTGGAGCCCGCCACACTGATTTATGAGTCTCTTTGCTGGGTCATCCCGAGCACTCGCCGCACTCAGCGCCTTTCGAAGGTCTTTGTGCATATTTTAAGGGCAGCTGCCACTGAAGTTGCCACGAGTTAATAAGCCGAACTTTTGCTGGCCAGTAAAAATTGAAAGAGTTTTCAAAATTGAAATTTTAATTGATATCGATACCTTTTCATTTGCATACTTTACAGGCGGCCAACGATCGTCTGAGACACTTTCAAATGATAAACGGCGGCGCTGGTGTGCCGCAGCAGAGTTTCGAGGAGACAATCCATAGGGTAAGTATGCAATAAATATGTATGGACTACATGGTAAAAGCAGGAGCAGCAGCAGCAGTTGCATAAATATTTATGCAGTGCAACGCATTTTGGTGCTGTTTTTGTTGCAAGCGGCAACAGCTGCCACAGCAAACAAAATTACTTCAAAATTGTTTGCAACAACAATAAGAATGTTGCACACCTACTTATGCCACAGCCCGGTGCAGCACCCTCGCTGCCGTTGCATTTGCAATGCAATTTCAACACGAAAGCTGCAACCGTTGCTGCCGAGCACGTTTACCTGCAATGGCAGCAGCAACAACAAAATGCAGCACAAAGTTGATGCATGCAACATTTAAAAGTTCATTGCCGTCAACATTCATTATTAATGACAGCGCAAGCAGCGAGCAGCGAGCGGCGAGCAGAGCCACGGCAACCAAAAACAAGCAACAAAATGCAATCAACGGCGACAATAAACAGACAGCAACAACAACAGCGGCGGCGGCAGCAGCAGCAGCAGCAGCAGCACGACAGCTGCAACAGCAAGCGCTGCATAATGCATACAGCAACGCCCACTATTCATGCCACGCCCACTTGCCATTTGCCACCATTGCACGCATGTTTTTCACACCAGCGAAAACTTTGACCAAGCACCTAAAAGCAGACTTTAAAGTTTGCAATTGCTGTCGTTGTTGCTGTTGTTAACTTGTGCTCAAATTTTCATAAATAAGGCGAACAGCACTTGAAAAGTAAATATTGTTATTTTAATAATTTCTTTTTTGTTTTTTTCCCTTCTTGTCTTTATCAGTTAAAAGTGCAAGAGGCCATGCGCAAAAAGGAAAAATTCCAACGTGAACACGAAGAGGTAAGCTAATATTTTCTCAGTACTTAACCAATTTCTATATCGCTTGATTAAAATTTGATCATCAATACGAAAATATTGTCAATCAATTTGTCTTGCCCAATTCCAATTTGATGCAATTTGCAAACAACAAAATTGCAATTGTAAACCAAAAATAAATCAAGCATATGCGAGTATATAGCTAAATATATGGAGCTTAAACAAAATAAATAAACAAGCTCGTGAAGCATTTACAGCAATTGTTTTAGTTGTTGCTGCTGCTGCTGTTTGTGCTTGGGACTAACAACATTTTGTTTGCGTAAATAAAACATCAGCAGCTGCTGAAAATTAAAATCCATATCCAAAGCGTTTACTCAGCCCACAGTTTAGTAACTGCCCCTATGCATATTTAAATGCTGGACAAACTCTTAAAATTCGTAGACCCAATTTGAAAAGCTATCAAAATATTTCTTGTGAAAAATAGCAATTATTTTGCTGTAGATCCGGGGGGCGGCGGGTCGCTGTAGGGCGTGGCGTTTAGCAAAACAAATGTACGAAAACATGCAAAGCAGACACAGGCGTACATTTATTTACACACTCACACACACATTCTGTCTCACATGTATTCTCACTTAAGTACTAACACACACAACAACAAGAACAACAAAAACAATGAACTGTAACGTGGCAAATGATAAACTTTTTGTCTGTCATAAAAATTATTTTCCACATTTTACATAGCACCGGACCGAACGAAGGATGCACCAAAGGTGGCACACTAATTGTCTGAATGTGTGTGTATGTATGTGTGTGTGTGTGTGGGCGTGTGTGAGCGCGTGTAATCTGTGTAATGAATGGGCGTGACAGGAGTTGAGTAAATGTTGTTTGACTTTGAAAAAGGTGCCTTTCCAACAACATGAAAATATTATTGAAGCTGTCCCGATTTTATTCAATTAAAAAGAATAGAAAATAATTAGATAAAATATTGTAGAACAAACAAAAATATATATAAATATAGAAAAGACTTGTATAATTAAATAAAATTGAGCTGAATCAAAAAATTAATAGAACATGACAATATGAATATGATTTTCTATTCTATTCTAATTATTGGTCTATTCATGTTATTATATAAATTCATGTTATTATATAAATCATATGTTTATAAATAAAGAAATTATTATAATTAAATCCAAAAATTATCTAAAAATTAAAAAAAAAAATAGTGGGTTATAACAAAATACAAGAAATAGAGAAAAGAGTCATTAAATAGCATGGAAAAGAATATATCGCTATAATAAAAAAAATCAAAAAACTCAAACAAAATTGAATAAAGTGAAAGCTAAGAAAAGAATATAAGAATCCTTTAACAAGTATTATTTTCTGTTTTACTATATATTTAAATATCTATCTATATATATATAATAAAACAGAAAAAAATTATGTTAGATAGATATAGAAATAGCTATATATACATCCAATATATTCAAGCTAAAAAAACGTAACGTATTTTTTATAGAATTTTCATGAAAATCTCTTAAAATTGACAACTAGTCCAGGCCAAGCAAGTGGCGTTGATAAAAACATCTCGTATGCTGTCGACCCATTTGCTTATTCGATTTTCAATCGAAACTTTGCTGTGCGCAACACATATTCACAGTTAATTATACAAAGCTTCAGTTATCAGCTCCGACGGGCAGGCCTTATTCCATTTTGCCAGACTAAGCTCATATAGAGTCGACAATTTTGTAGCATACTTTTGCTGCTACTGCTCTTGCGGGCCGAATTGCATTGCATAATTCTTGCAATTGCCGAAAGCACACGCACACATGCCCACGCTCACACACACACACACAACACATGTGCGTTTGCTGCACGACAATATGTCTGTTTGCATGTCGACGACGTGTCCGCCTAAGCAAAGGCAATAATTTTTGTGCATAAATGAAAAGCACACACAGTCACAGACACACACACACGCACACACGTACACATATAGCAATGTTGCTGCTGCTGCTGTAGTTGCTGCTTAACTTGTGCAAACAACTTGCTGTTTGTCTAATTGTAATTGCTGTTTTTGTTGCCAGTGCCTGTGACTGGGTCTCTGCTGTCTGTGCCTCTGCCTGTGCCTGCGTCCGGATCCGAAGCCTGCACAGCGGCTGCTTATTTTCCATCTCTGGCTTCGCCAAACGCCAAGAGCAGTGTCAACAACAAGACCCAAAAAACTAAAAAAAAAAACATAGAAAAAAATTGTTCATGCTTATGAAATATTTATAATAAAACAGAGCGACAACCTCTGACCGGCCAAAAGCAAATGTTTGCTGGCCAATAATTTGTTCCAACAATCGGGCAGTCAATTAAGCACGGCTCCAGAGCTGGGCTAATCACAGCCTTAAGCAACATGCACTAGTCTTGCTACATAAATTTACAACCTAGCTGTGGCAGGCAGAGGCAATTGTTGTTCGTAGTACTGCTGGCATTGCTGCCATTTAAATGCATTTTTAATGCTGCTGCCCGAAAAAGCTTTTAGCTAATTTTTACACTACTTTCTGCTGCTGTTTCCATTTCGCTAGCCCGGCCCTGGCATCCTTTTCAGGCATACACACACACACATGGCATGTTCTTAAATTAGTATGCAGCACATATTGCGCTATTATGTTGCAGGACATTCAACCAACCAAGCAGCAACCAGCAGCAGCAGCAGCATTTCAGTTGTGCTTCTGCTCTGTTCAAATTGTTTTAGTTTTCAAATGGAATTTTGTAATTTTAACGCCTTTGCCGCTGCAGCTGGCTTGAAAGAAAAAAAAGGAAAGGGAGCAGAAGAAGCTGGTAAATCCTTCTCAGCAAGAGGCAGCTGCCAGGAAACTGACGAATAAGCTGAAACTTCATCGCCTGCCAATGCTGAGTACGTCTCGGGTCTCTTTTTATTGTGCACAGCAGTCACGTGCCTTAACATAGACAAAGTGGCACCTACCCAGCTCCTACGCCCGGCTGGCAATATATACTTATATACAAAATTCTTGCCTTTTACAGGCCCGCATCTCACATTTGGCAAAGCTCATAAAGTGCACTCATTTATGCCTAAACTGAGCTTAAGCCAAAACTCTGGGGAATTTGTTTACTCGCACAGAGCTCACATTATTTAAATATATAATCTTAAAGGTCTTAGGCGTCCGTACTTATTTATATAATAACCGGACAACAAATGCATTTTCTAGAAGTTTTAATAGTCAATATTATAAGGCATTCAATATAATATAAATATGCTCTTAATAATGTTTGCAGATCTTGCGGGACATACGCCAGGGTCTACTGCAAATGAGTCGTGGCGAGGGACGCACAGGTAAGTTGTTTACCTATAACACCCATCTTTAGGCATCCTAAAAGACCAACAACAAAATAAAAAGATTTCAATTATAAAAACCAATTGCCTCTTGGCTCTGGCCCACTTGAGTATTGCAGGGTGGGGACGGGCGTTGCTTTAAAACTTGTCTCAAAAAAAAAACACTGTCGAAATGTTGTTGCAGTGGGCGTGGCGCCGTCTGGCGAGCGTCACATGCATAAGCGAGCATAAAATCTTATGTCCGTTTCCGGCTGCAGCAACAACAAAAACAACAGCAACGACAGCTTGAAGCAGCTGCCGTGCAAGTGTGCAACTTTTAGTGGCAAATGGCATTTCAAGTTTCGTATGCAACGTTGCGTATAAAATTATCATGTGCTGCCGGGCAAAAGTTTAAAGCACCGCCACAATGACCATTTATATGTCTCCGCGCCCTGTTAATCCTCTCCCATCCAGCCCTCCAATCCTCTCTGACTAACACCAAGCAAAACGGCAAAACGCCTCACAGTCTATCCATTTGCAGATGATACGTACATGTACGATGAGGCACTGAGGAGCGGTCCGGGCGTTGCAGCAGTGGGTGGTGTGGCAGGTGGTGCACATTATGCGGTCAGTGCGCTGCACCATCAAGGTCATTGGTACGATGAGCCGCCCTACGAGAGCGATCCCGATGATTTTCTTATGGCCGGACTCAATTGTGGACCAGCTGCAACCATACAGGTAAGTGTGGCTAAGTGTGCGGTTGTTTTTGTGTGTCTAAGCTTGTGTGTATGCTCAGTAGTATGCTACAGAACTTGCTGCTTGTCTGAGATTTATGTGCGCGGTTTACCAAACACTTGGGCCCACTTATTGGCAGTCGCTTGAGCCAGCTGCAGCAGCAGTTGCAGTCGCAGTGGCAGTCGCCTATTGCGAGGACAATTGCCAGGCAGTCGCCTGATAACTTGAGGCAATTTCTTTGCCTTCAACAATGTCTTGATTTTTCTCTATTTTTTACTCTTGCTCTTTTCGATTTATGCAGCACATTCGTCTTTGCTGTTAATCCTGGCTGAGACGGTGCCACGCCTTGTTGGTCGCTTTGATTTCTCAGCGGATTCAAGCACTTTGTAGCCTTCCCTCCTTCTCTCTCTCTCTCTTTCTCTCTGTCGCTCTCTTATTCTTTTTCTTTATATTTGCTTTATTAAATTATACGCTGAATATATTTTGCCTGCGCATTGATTTCCAACTTCGATTTGTATGTCCTTTGGCATTTTTTCTCGACAACTTTCAACGGCAACTGCCGCTGCGACTGCCACTTTGACTGCGACTGCGAGTTGAACTTCAACTTACTTTATTTTTATTGACAGTCAAAAAGTGCATAATTCTTGTTGACTTGCTCAACCCGGCGACGACGTCTTGAGACTTTTCCTCAGGCTTTGCATAAAATTTACTTTTTCCCAATTTTTCATTTATTTGCCTTGTGATATGCACAGAAGTTGCGCTTTTGTTGCTGCGCCTAAGAGGGGGTTGAATTGGATCTGGGCTTGTGCTGGGGGTTGCGCCCATTGCTTTTGGGGCGAACGCAGAAATTTTGTTTTCTTAGTCAATTGAAATCACTCAGCAGCGCGGCTTCGATATGCTTGAGCCGCCCTTTGTGGCCTTTCAATTTCAGTTTTTGCTTTGATGTGGCAATACGCAAAGGATCTGCAACAACAACAATAACAGCAACAACTTTAGAGAGGAACAAAAGTTTGTTTAGCAAAAAGTTTTTTGCGGTTTGCGCAGCACTCTGCCCAGCCTGTCCATAAAAATGTGAAGCGCACAATTGTCCCTATTTGTTTCTGCTGTTGTTGCCCAGCGAACCGCAGCCTGGCCCATGTTAATGGGACCCCAAGCACAGAAAATAAGAGTCCAATGCATGGAATTAGCATTCGAGCTTTGATGATGGGGTTGATGGGCCAGCATGGGCCAAAAAGTACGCAACATATTCATTATCTATGCGCCTGCTAGCCGCTAACTTACAACTTTGCTGTGGACAGCAACTGTCCTTATACAGCATGCAACAGCAGCAAATATACATGCTTCGAAAACTTTGCAATTTACATGTTGCCACAAATTGCGTCCAAAACTGAAAGTTGCTGTAATTGAGAAGTGTGTGCGTGAGTGTGCGTGTGTGTATGTGGCATTGCTTCAAATTTAAAACAACAACTTTGCAATTTCCGCTGCGTTCGAATAAACTAAATTTAAAATTCCAAGCAAAATAAATAAAAGGCAACAAAGCCCAACAGCCAACAACCAGCAATAGCAGCAGCAAATCTCTGCCAAACAACAACAACAAGCAGCAGCAACAACAACAATAGCCACAACGGCCCAAAAGTAAACTCAACTCAGCAGCAACGCGCGGCGCATAAAGTTTTATAACTTTGTTAATTTTTCATAATTTGTTGTTGCTTTTGCTGTTGCTGTTGCAACAAATTCTACTTGAGCGCTAATCCGCATGTTTCGCTTACTTCTCTCATAGCTCTGTCTCACTCACCAACTTTCTTCTCCTCTCTCTTTCTTTCAGGGTGGCCGCGTGCGCTTCTCGAACAACCGCGAGAGCACGGGCGTAATTTCATTAAGATCCGCCGGAGATATTTCACTACCGCAACGCGGACCGCCGCGACGAGGGCTTATCGTGCCGCAGCAGCCGCCAAATCCGCCGACAATAATACCGTTAACGCATGCCAGGTGAGTGCTGCCACAGTGTCCAGGGTGGTTGGGAATAGGGTCTTGCTGATTGCCATTATTATTTGTGGGGCCAAAGGCAACGCATTAATAATACAAAAGCAACAACAGGCGCTGGCAAAAAGAAAAAATATAAACACGTAGAGTAGATATATATGTAAGTAGGGTAAGATGAATGCGGGGCAGTTGTCGGGTTATATCTGGCACTTGCAGGGTGGCCCACCCTTAACCCTTTGACCACTTCAAAGCGCTGCTCAGGGAAGCTCAGTGAAGCACAAAATGTGCCAGAAATGTGTGCAGTGTGGCATGAAAAGGCCAAACATTTAGCCCTGTAAACAACCCAACACTAATAGCTGACCGAACCGATTCAAGCCAAACCAAACCAAACCAAACCAAATCGAATCGAGCCGAAGCAAAGCAAAGCAAAGCAATCAAGCAGCTCAATTGCTGCCCCGTAGCTGCCCCCCTCGGAAGCCTCAAATTTATTTGTCAATATGAAAAGGTGCGCAAAAGGATTGACCCGGACAACAGGCCGCCCACCCAAATAAAAAAGGTAGCCTCACTTCATTAGTGCCGTTATCAACATTTTGCAGCCACATGAATGAATGAGCCAAACGAATGAACGAGCGAGCGAGCGGGCGGGCGGGCGAGTGAATGAGTGTATGAATGAATGACAAACTGACTGTTTGAGTGTCCTGTCTGACCGACTACTTGCAACATATCGCAGCGCATTGGAGCGAAAGTCATCAATTTCATATTGTTACGCATGCCACAAAGAATAAAACATGGACTGTCAGGTGTATGGATCGCCGAAGCGGGCTGGCGGCGGGTTCGGGAGTCTGTTTCTGGGAGGCGTGTCAGTCAGCTGGCCCCAAACTAATAAGAAGACGTCGACGTCTGCAATATTGGCCCAACACACAGACAGCGACGACACTTGAATGAATTGGCATTATTGCTACTTCAACGCGGCTCCAGTACACTGTGCAACACGACTCGTCAATCAGCCGGGACAGTCGACAGTCGAGACTCACCAGTCGCCAGTCGCCAGTCGCCAGTCGGTCGTCAGTTACCAGTTGCCAGTTGCCAGTTGCCAATTGGAGAACCGTTTTCCACACGTACGCACCGGCCAACTATACAAAAGACGTGCTGAAATAACTTATACGCCCTGTGCGCCCTCAGGGCCAAAACAAAAACTTTTTTTGCCAAATAAAAGAAAACAAAAATAAAAATAAATGAAAATGGAAATGGAAATGGAAAAAGCGAAAAACGAACAACAGCCAAAAGTGAAAATCTCAACAGTGTTAAAGTCAAATGCCCAGGCACAACAAATAAAAAAAAGAAAAGAAACAGAAGTAGCCGAAAAAAAAGGTATAAAATATTTATTTATATGAGCTTTTGCTTGCCTGTGGACCCGAGACCTTTGTGCCGAGTGTTATTATTGCTGTTGTTGTTGCCCTTGTATATACATATTTGCTTAGCAGCAACAATATTCTGGTTTGAAATCAAAACGGTTACCATAAAGCTCTTCAAGTGTTAGCCAGGATACAGGATACGGACGGTATACGGTATACGGTATACCCCTGCTCAACTTTCGTTAGTTTTCTTTGGCAGCTGCTGGCTCCTCAAGGTGAAGATGAGCAAATATTTGGTATATAATTTAAATAGTTTGCTTAGATCTCAACAAGCTGACAGCTGCTGCAGGTCCAATTGAGGGCTAGCTAAAAGTTTTGCGAAATATATGATGGACTGCTGAGGGTTAGAAGTTGGTTATTTAAAAAGTTGTAAGTTAAAACAAATGTTAAGCAACATAAAAGGTTAGAAACTAGACCAAGACAAATAACTTAATAAGAAAATGTATAATGAAAACGACTAAAAAAGATGCGCGAACCAGTTTTTATCTCGAAATATGAAAATTATGTTTTAAATATAATTTGGATTAGGTTTCGCATAAAGTCTTTTGAAAAACGCTAAATAGCTTCTGGACATGTATGCCCCTTTCTTTTACCAAATATTATTTACATGCTTTCACCGAGAGAAGTTATTTACCATATAGCTTAACTGAACTGAATGTTCGCTAAATGAACTATATTTATCTCCAACTCTGATTTTTCCCCTACAGATCTCATGATCGCGAGAGCGGCGACTATGCGGGCTCCATTTCGGATTTACAAAGCGTTACCTCCAGGCTGAGCACAGTTTCGGTGAGTAAGGCAAAAGCCATTAGACGAAGCAGCTCATTTAAGTTGTACACACACACACACATGTGTGTGTATGTGTGTGTTCATCTCAATGCGTCGTCTAAATTGATTAAGTGCACTTAGTGACAAACAAAGTTGGCAACGAGCTGAACGACCAGGAAGAATAACAAAATGCACGTAGACTGTGTACGAGCATAAAAACTGGAAAAGCTTTTTAGCCAAAAGTTTTCCTTTTTGACTGCAGCAATGGCAGCTCCCAAGGCAGCCACTTAAGCCAGCTAAACGATGTCGATGTGCCGGCCCTCGTTTCCCTGCTGGCCATTTCATTTGCAAACCCAACTTGACTCGTCTGTTTAGTATGAAACGCGTTTAACATGCTCTGCCACTGCTTCTGCTTCGTCTTCCACAGATTGGCACCAACAATTGCACCGCCAGATACCGCACGCTTAGCGGCGGCATTGGTGAGTCGCCGTCCCTGTCACCGAGTCCGTCATCCGATTACGAGGACATTGGCGCCACAAGGCACGGACTGCCGCCGAGTTTTGCAGCGAAGGCCAAAAAGAATGGACTGCCGCACAAGGCGAATACGATTTGTCAGAAGGCCATGGTGCATCATGTAAGTTAATTAATCAAATGCATGTATGTGTATGTATTTGTGTTTCTGTGTGTGTGAGTGTGATTGCAATTGCATTTGGTGTACACGAACAGCATTCAGCTTATTGACTCGCCGCAAATCTGTGAGCTGCAAAATGTAATTAGCTTGGGCATTTACATATGCGCCTGATTGGAATTTGTGAGCGCCTCTATCTAAGCCACTTGCAATTTGTCTACGGCCTATGCAGAAAACGTTTGCCAAAAGGACCAAAAGGCTCCACAACAACGTGGCCAAAAGGGCGCGGGATGTGCCCGCCAGGGCAACGCTTGAACATGCACTCTAAATGCAAATGCCAGTTAAATGAGTTTTTATGCGAGCCCAAACGCTGGACACGGACATGCGTCCGGTCATGTGGTTCACATCCCTATGCCTATGTGGCAAACTCAAAAAGTGAAAGCTCATTTTCAGTTTAGGCCATGGTTACTTGGCGCTGCAGTGGGCAATGCACAGTTGCCAGAGAAGTCTGAACACAGGTCACAGATTGTGTTTTGCTAAAAAAATATATATTAACAGAAATAGATATATAGGCTGTTAAAAAATCTGATTGGCTAGTTTCGATCAGTGTTCAAGCCGATTCTGTTTTAAACGAGGTAACCTAGCCTAGAGCATATCTTAATAATATATTATATTAGTCAAAGGCTTTTTTTTCTGACTCCATTTATATATAATGTCCTTGTACAATTTGGTCATACAAACGCAATCTTTTCGGGGCTTGGGTCTATGAATCATGCTCCCATTTCGTCATATTGTTTTCTCTGTTTGTCATTTTGCGGTTATTTTCTTTGGGCGCGTCGGGTCTTATTTGAAAGTTCTTGAATCCGTAGTCTCGCTTCTCCTCGTCCCTGGTAAACTCGGCCCTGACAATGTTACTCGTGGGACTGCCCGTGTTGCGGAGCCACTCCTTCATCAGGTTCACCTCGGTCCGTGGACCCTCGATATAGCCCTTGACCGTACCATCCGCCGTGTTCATGCACCAGCCACGTAGCCCCAGAGTCTTGGCCTTCATCTCAGCATGACGGCGAAAGTAAACGCCTTGCACCTTGCCAAAAACTTCAAATTCACACGAATGCACTGTAGACATTGTACATGTATTGGAAAAAGCTTTCCTTTCCTGGAGTCGAATACAAAATATAAAAAAAAAAAAAAAAAAAAACAATACTAATTTTGTATCAATTTATAAAACAACTACAAAAATTTCAAAAAATTATTCTGGTCTATTACTAAATTCAAGGCGTACTATGCCAAATAATGGCATAACCGAAGGAAATGCTTCGAATATCATACATAATACAAAATATAATGTACAAAATACGGAAAAATGATTAAAACAAATATATTTTTTGGTTAACAGAAACTTGTAATCGAAATACAGGGTATCTTGTAACCGAACCCTTGCCTCTATTATTCTGACTTTGAAAAACAGAGGTTTTTTTTCAATTCAAGCTTGCAACGCAAAAATGTTGCAGACAACTTTGTTGCTTTGTTAGCGTGTGGCAAAAGTTGCAATCGGCGCCTAGGCCTGTTGACTGTGCGAGATATGAGCAAAGTTTTGTGGCAACAGCAGCAGCTCAATATTGACTGTCAAACCACCCAAAAAAAAGGGTCAAAGCCGAAGCCAAAGCCATAGCGGAAGCACTGCAGCCAAATCCAAGATTTGAAAAAGCTTGCCACTGTAAGGGGTCTGTCTGTAAGTGTAACTCTGTGTGTGTGTGTGTGTATGGGGGAATTTGTGTGGTAGCATTAAACTTTTTAATGATTTAACTAACAAAACTTTTGCTCTATTCTATATGCTCCCTTTGCTGCCTCCTGCCCGGCTCAACATGCAATTTATTGCACAACACGACGACGACCACGACGACGACGAAACAACTTTCACTCTGGTGTTGCTGCAGTCGAGCGAAATGCGTAGCTCGCCAAAGGAAATTGGCGCATTTAATGAGAATGGACGAAACTTTGTTGCCACAAAGGATACATCAAGGGATTTCAGCAATTCCCAAGATAATACCGACCGTGGCAGCATGAGCGATCAGGCGTTTGCATGTTCCGCCAGCTCCGTTGAAAGTTTGCCCAGTGCTTCCGGTTCGAGTAAGTATAAAGCTCTAGATAACTATTTAGGTATGCGAGAGTGTGTGTGGGCGAGTGAGTGTGTGTGTGTGTGTGTGTGTGTGTGTGTGCGAGGGAGTGTGTGTGTGCTTACAATTTAGAGTTTTGATTTTGCCTTTGCATTTGCTTTCTATTTCGCTGGCAGCGCTCGCCTCGGCTCTAGCGGTTTGTTTATAAAAATTCCCAGACTGCCGCCCATCAGCACGACCCCATCCGTCCGTGTTGCATATTGGTATATTAACAGCTGTAGTTGTTGTTGTTGCGGTTGTTCTGCAACCGCTGCACAATAACTTGAAATTTTGCAAACTTAATGAATTTTTAATGCACTTGCGCACAGTCAAGTGGCAACTGGCAACTGGCAACTGGCAGCTGGCAATGTGGCAAGTGCATGGGCCAGGCCATGCAGCCCGGTGCAATTTCTGGGGCGTGGTTAAATAAAGGGCAGCCGTTGAGGCAGCTGCTGCTGTTGCTGCTATTGCTCAGTTTTTAATGAACAAAAGTTTTCGCTATATGCGCAAATTTCTACACTAAATAAAGAAAAAAAATAAAAATAAACCAAAACAAAACAAAAAGCCAAAGCAAGGGCCTGGCTGGGATAGTTGAGGGATAGGCGAGGGACGGGTTACAGGAGCAACTTTGAAAAGTGCAAGAAAAAATACTTTATTTTCATGTGGCCAGGACACAAAGCAAGGATTAGCCAAAGCTTTGCCCAAAAACTTCAAGTGCTTATTTGAATATTTTCTGGGCGTAACGGGCTTTGTGTCTGTGTCCACCAACCCCCTCTCTCACACTCTCTCTCTCTCTTTCTCTGTCTCACTCTCAGTATGCAAGAGTGTGTGTAAAAATATTTGAAAAGTTTTTAATTAACCAAACGAACTGTGTGTGTGCGTGCGTGCGTGTGTGTGTGTGTGCGTCAGATTGTGTGTTTGTATTTTGGGCACTGCCAAATTCTTTAGCCCTTGGCTAATTGGCTGTGGGCGCATTAATTGGAAAATTTTCTGGGCAAACTTCCATCGAAATTTTGTCGAGACAAATATTTAAACTTGAAACCATCCATTTTGGACAGGCACTCAGGCTCTGGTGCGTCCTGGCAGCCCGCACAGCTCCATTTCAGCCGAGGATCGCACCTCCCTGGCGACCATTTGCAAGGCCAAGGCTCTTGTCGACAGTCTGCCCAATCCCTACGACAAGGAGGCGCTTAAATTCAAGGTAAGCCGAAGCTCAACTGCACCGAGCTTTTTATATTCAATGCTCCACTTGCCACCTGCAGAAGGGTGAACTCATCGATGTGCTGTCGATGAATGCCTCGGGCATTTGGAAGGGTCGCTGTCATGGCCGTGTGGGTCACTTCAAGTTCATCAATGTGGAGGTGCTGCCCGAGCAGCGCATGAAGAGCTCCAGCAGCAAAACCCTGGCGCCAGCCTCCGCCCGACTGGCCAGCAGCAACAATGGCAGCGGCGGCAACAGTGGACCCAGCTCTGTGGAGGATCTGCTGATTCGCATCGGTCTCAAGGAGTACACCTCGGTGTTTGTGCTCAACGGGTAAGTGGTGTAGATGAAACAAATTTCACAACAAATTTTTTGTTGGATTGTTTCACCTATCGTTCCATTTGCAGCTACGAGGATCTGGAACTGTTCAAGGAACTCGAGCCGGCTGATCTGGATTATCTGGGCATACTCAACCAGGAGCATCGCGCCAAGCTACTGACGGCCGTGCAGCTGTTGCATGACATTGAATGTAAGTAACTGCGCCCGCCTTCAACCACGCCCCACGCCTAACTATCAATATGTATCGCCATATGCCCGACTCCACATAATCCACACCCAACCGACTTACACTCACATACACACACGCACTTAACACAGCTACAAATTTCGCACGCACAGGCTCCGACGTGGACATCGCCGGCTCCAGCTCCGAGAACGACGAGGCGCGCCTGAACAATATCAACAAGAAGCACGGCGCCTCGCCCTTTGGGCGGCGACACTTTCCGCGCGATTCCGGCTGCTATGAGGGCTCGCCGCTGCCCAGTTCACAGACGCCCACGCAGACGGTGAACTCGACGGACGAATCGAACAGCTTGGACGATGTGGTGTCCAAGTGCTCCAGCGAGATTATGAAGCGGGTGGAGAGCGCGCGTCGCTGCAAGGACAATCCGTTCAAGGCGACGCTGCCGGCGCGCGTCGGCAAGAAGTCCTTTCTTGGCGGCGGCGGTCTTATGGGCGACGATACGCTCACACGTGGCGGACTCAGTGAGAAGTCGAGCGATTCGGGCGTCAGCAGCAGTTCGCTATCGTCGGGTCCGCTAAAGAGCAGCACTTAACATTTGCCAACCATACTCGCCCACGAGCTGCTGCTGGGCGTGGGCCAAGTGGGCGGCGGAGGCGGGGGCGGCAGTAGCTTGGGCGCCACCTCGCCCACCACCTCGGTCGCTTCGGCCAGCATGGTGGGTTGCCCTAGCAGTGCCAGCAGCCTGAATGCAACGGCGCCGCTTGGCAACATTTGCAACACACTCCCGCATGCCCCTTCCAGTGGCAGCAGCAACAGCACGCTGGGCCTCTCCAGCAATGTGCCCCTCAATCGGAACCTGGTGATGCTGCGCAATCACTTGCGCAAAAATACCAGTGCCAATGCGGCACCAGCGGCTCACGACGACAAGGATCAATAACAACCCATTTATCACATACCGATATTAGTTTAGGTTCTCGATATAACTGTATCCGATATTTGATTTAGATATATGTATGTATGTATTTCAATTGCTGTGATTCGATAGTGAAAAAAAGGCCAAGACGCGTCTTTCAGTTCAAATGTATAGTGTATAGAGACAGATAGATAGCAACAGAGAAAGCGAGAGCGAGAGAGCGAGAGAGCGAGAGAGAGATGGAGAGAGAGTAAGAGAGAGCACACAAAGCAAAGTCAGTTAGTCAGTCAATCCTTCCTCCGATAATGTTGGCATTTATATATATACTTATATATATATATATAACTATATTTATATTAAAAAACAAAAGAGACAGAGCTATATACTTAGTAATGTAATGTAATGAAATCTTTTAACTATTTTTAGTTAGCAAGATGTAAAGAAAACATTTTTTAATTTGCCATTTGCCAATTGTTTTCTATTGCTATGTGTATTTCGCAACGTGATATTGTCAAACGTCCAACTTGAATTGCAGTTTTTAATTAATTAAACCACGTTTTACTTGGTGCGAGGGGAGCCTAAAACAAATACATATATATATATAAATAATTAATAACTCAAGTTGATTCCTATATTAAGGCACAGTGTGCCGGCAATAGACCAATTACATTTTAAAATCAAATTCAAATTCAATATTTACACCAAACAAATAAATTACCAATAAACATTAAAAACTATTTATATTTCGACAAAACCTCATTTTAATTGTGTTACTCTTAAGTGCGAACATTGTAAAGAAAAACTCAAACACACACACACACAAACACACATCATGATGTATCCGTCAAAATTGTAAATTTGCAAAACCAGCTAAGAAAAATTGTATGCTAAGCAATATAAATTGGAAATCGTAGACTCCATGCAAGCGATCTGTACATAGATTAGGTATTATTGCCATTGGAGTGTATATTTATGCCATTTAACATTTAAATATATATATATATATATATATATATACATATAAGCAATACATATAAATTCATATATGAATCTTAACCATTAGCAACTTGCCAGATATTTAGCGATAATCAAAAGGAAAAGGACAATGAAATTCGTCAGCGCGGAACATATTATTGATTTCAAATTAATCAATTAGTTAAATAAATAAATAAATGAACAAATATTCAAAAGCAAGCACAAATGAGATATATATTAATATATATACACACAAATAAAAAATATATCGTAGCGCATATGAATATCAAATATACCAATTGACTTTATGTACATTTGAAACAAAAAAGAAAACGACAAAAATTCCAAAATGCTTTTATTCATAAATAAGCAACATATATATATATATATATATATATTAATGTATATCAATATTCATAAAGTTACAAGTTTAAATAATCCCAAAAATTTAAATAAAATTTAACAGTTAGTTAAAAAATAAAACAAACAAAACAAAAGATTAATAGCGCACGTGTTAAAGCCAGAGATTAAACATATTCTTATGTAGGAATTTTTAATTTTATTTATCTAAAGATACATTTAAGTGTTTCAACTGTAAATTATTAAAGAAATTAAAAACAAAATAATATGCAGAAGAGCCGCATGCAGCATGTGCTAAAAGTTTCCATTTATCACTGTAAAATTATGTAATTAAATTCGAATATGTAAGCAATATTAAAGTTTAAAATTACAACAAAAAATAGAAGAAAATAAAAGAAAAAAGAAAATACCTAAGGCATCACACAGTTTCAGGCAAGCAAAGTTTAAAACAAAAAAGAACCTTAAAAATTACAATTCATTAGTATACAAACAATGCAGTCAGCGAACTTTAACTCTCCAGAGCTCCATACATTTTAGAAGAAATTTTCAGCATAAAAAAAAAAAAACAAAACAAAAGAATACAAAGCGGAGCACACAACAAGCTGATGAAAGTTTATGCATAAATCAAGTAAAAGTCTTAAATAAAAATGAACATATCTAAAAAGTAATTAAATGGTTTATTTATTTAACTGGTATGAGCTGCTAAACAGGTAAGTAAACTTCCATTTTATTCAAAAGAGAAGATTTACACAACGTTGTGTACAAATTTAACCTAGTTTTTTATTATTAGTTAGCTCATCATGTATTTTATAAATTTTAAGATCGAAATTTAATTCTGAATTTACAAATGCTTGTTGTACTGAAAATATTGATACATACATGAAAATATGAAAATATATACACATACATACAATCATATACAAGAGCTATATTTAATCTCAATTCAAATTAAATTATATCTTCTATATCTCTTATAAGTCTCAAAAAAACGTTTTTTGAGATAGTTGCCCATGGGTATTTTTTTTATCCAGAAAAATTATCAACGCGTGACATTCAGATGGTTATAAGAAGCAATCAAACAGTTTTCTAAATATAGCTCATATTATGAGCTACTTGAGCCCATCTTCAAAGTTTGATAGAATAAAAGAGACCGCCTAAATGGCTTTATATATCATCTGGCCGCTACCTACCCACCCAATAAGAGTACAATTTCACTGACATTGAATGAACGCTCTAGTTCACATCAATTCTGATTATCGAGCTTCATCTACACGTGAGCAAAATAGGTTTATAGCTATGCATATATGTATATATATATACGTAAATTTCTGTACAATCTTATCGTATAAGGTGGCGCGCCAGCCCAAAATGAGAATGTAAACAATTCGTAAAGCTAGGGCTAGGAACCGGCGGGGCAGATGGCAGCTCAATGTGAACGGGTAATGGTTGGATGGACGTCGCCGGCCCCTGGTGTCGATGAGGCGGAGCTATCTTTGTCGTAATCTGCGCTGATGCTGAGAAGCTGATTAAATTTACGACACTTGTGAAATAGATCTATCTCTTGAAGCTAGTGCACACATGCATTATGCATTGTGCTGTTTATTCATAGGGCATTTGTAACTAACGAACCCACGAACTAACGAACTTTATGCTGGAAATTAGCATTTTTGTTTTTTTTTTCGCGTTTGCTTTATTTTTGATGTTGCCTGTGCGGCCGGGAAGTAAATTTGCGCTTAAGTGGTTTAGTAGATTGTTAAATTGCTTTTGTCTTTCGCTCGGCGGATAAGTAAATGAAAATATGAAAATTGATATTATTGCATTGCACAAACTACGTGGACTTTATCTCATTTTCTGCCACATTTTGCGCTTAGTTTCAGTTTCAGTTGCTGTGCGCTCCGAGTCAGAGCCAGTGCAAGAGCGCATAAATAATAAATTCTATAATCTAATAAAAAGAAAAATACCACAGACAATAGACTTTATATAGTATAAATATATTAACGGTCAGAGGAGTAAATGTGCCATAGAAAAGCAAAAGTGGAGTGGAAATATTCCAAACAGTCTTGCTCAGTGACTTGAAAATGAGATTTATGCCATCTACTTAGCCAGAGCTCTAAATTACCAGGCCTAAATCGTGGCTTATCCGTTTGACGGCTTCGTCTCACTGTGCTGCTGTGTCCCCACATTTAACCACGGTACAAAAGGCTATCTTATCTCGCTTGAGCTCTAGACTCGAAGTGCAAAAATATCTAATGACCAGAATGAACTCGACAACTTACACAACTCACACCTAGATTCTTCAATGCTAATCAATTAATAACTTTTACCTATACAAAACGTGGAGAATACGTCAATCCTATTTGTCACTCATGTCCAACAAATATAACATTTAAAGTGTATTTCTAGTAAGACCCCATTTATTAGTCCCAGTTAATATTTGGTAACTTGACCCACAAAATTACCAAAAAAAATAAAATTTTGCTGACCGCTTTTAACATTTATCCACTTCTCGACTCGGAAATACTCTGTAGCAAATGAAAATAAAGTTGAAAGGTAAGAATTCGACGTAAATTCATTTTAACCATGGCTTAAATAAAAATCAGCCTAGCTTAGAGGCAAGTACTCAAAGGTGCATTAATTTTAAATGCAATATCCAAAGTAGAAGCAAATCTTGAGCTAGTTATCGCAATACAATCGGTTAAATTGGGATAAACAAAAATTTTTTGGATGAAACAAGCACCTGAGCAACTCTTTTATATATTAACAAATATAATATATATTATATTATATATCAACAAATTAAATCGACTCGTATTGAGAAATTACGCCCAAACATAACCTGCACAATTGATTCTTTCGAATGCATCGGAAACTATTTTCCTTTTTTGTTTTAATTGTCTAACGAACATTTGGTTTGAGTCTTGTTAATCGTTTGTCGTATATAACGCTGTAAACTAAACACCCGTTGTTATCAGCAATTATTTAATAATGCTTATGGGCTCTGTCTCAGCTGATAAGCCACCTCCTACAGAGGGCCCCTTTTAACACCAGCATTTGCCCGTGTCGGCACTCATAACAGCACCCGCGTGTGTTGCAGACGGTTGATGAACTGCTCTTCCATTCAACGGGCACTTGACAAGCACAATTTGCATGCGAAATGTGAGAAGTGCAAACGAATAGTGACTGATATCAAATACTATAATATTTCAATGAGATCGAGTTAATTGTATTTGATTTTAATTTGTTCTTAAATTGCAATTAGAAAGCAATTCTACTCAAAAGCGACAACAGCAAGAAACCTTATCGAAAGAGGTTTTATAAATTTCCTTTAGTGCCTACGTTCATAAAATCATTTACTACGCAAGAGTGTTTCAATTGTGGATTACGTTGTGAAATCTTTCCATAGATCGATTACTCAATTACAAGACGCGAGCATATGTCAAAAATAATAATATCTAAATAAGCCGTAAGTATACTATATTATTTTACAAAAATAAAAGCAAGCATTTTGATAAGAAATTTCATTTTCTCTGACTGAAATTCATTTGCTGCTAATTATAAAACATATAAAATTAATGGCCCTTGGTATATGGTCTAAATAAATTTTAATGACACTCGGAAATATTAAGACGCCATCATAAAGCACTTATCACATTCCCAATTTCTGCGCAGTTTATTGTAAAATTCTTACTATTAGATCTGAAGCTTTGTGAAATTCAAGGAATACATTAAAGATATTGCAACAAAGCTAGTTATATCGGATCGGTTTTTGATATAAGCTTCAACATCGGTTGATCTTGACGCATTTAAGGCGCACTTAAACTTTCAAATTCATAAAACTGTATTATTAGGCTGCATCGTATTTACATGAGGCATGAGGCCTTTCATAAAGATAAGTGCAGCATTTGTGTGCACAGAGGTAATCTTCTAACGATTTATGTAGATAGCAACAGCAGCCAACACAAATACAACACAATGAAAGATAAACTGGAGGAGGTGGTGGCCTACAGTAGAAAAGTGTCTACGACAGCGGCCAGCATAGACGAAATGGATATAGATGAATCCGAGCTGAATGATCCATTCCAGGCGCTCATGGAGAAGGCCGGCAACCATGGACGCTATCAGACACTCTACAATTATGTGTTTGTCGCTGGCCTGGCCTTTGCCGGTGCCATGATCTACATGAACATCATATTGGCACTCAATATACCCGAGCACTGGTGCACTGTGCCGGGAAGGGAGCTCACAAACTACACGCTGGATCAGTGGCGCGATTTGACATTGCCCAAGTGAGTTGAACTTTAGAAAAGCGAAGATTAAAACCCTGTGCTAAGCTTTACCATTTCGAATATAGACAGAAAGACAACCGAGGGAAGGAGACGCACAGCAGTTGTGAAATGTACGATATGAACTTTACAGAAGTATCCGATTTCTCAGCCTGGACCAATAGCCGCAGCAAAAATCAAACCACAGGTGAATAGCACACAGACACACAGACACACACACACACATACGCAGATATATATTGCCTGGCTTTGTGGCGTATGGAAAAACTTGGCTCGCTTTTGCTCGCTGTCTTATAAATTTTTACAACTTTGTACTCTAATACATTTTATGGGGCTCTACGATTGACAGTTTGCCAGAACGGCTGGAGCTACGACCAGACCTGGTATGACAGCACAATACCCACCGACCAGAACTGGGTGTGCGCCAAGGATTTGTTTGTAACAAATGTGTTCGTTGTGGGCCGCGTCACGGAGGTAGTCGGTTCATTTATATTTGGACAAATGGGCGATTCGTAAGTTGGCCAAAACTAAATTATGAGTCCATGTGCGCAATTGGCAATTGGTAATTGAATTTTGGCATTTGTATTGGTCACAGCTTTGGACGCAGTGTGGTCTACTACATTAGCGTCGTCTTCTGCTCGGTGGGACGCCTGGGCTCCGTTCTATGCACGTCCTCATATACATGGTTTCTCATCACGTCCGGCATTGTGGGCCTCACCGTCAACAGTCTCTTTCAATCGCCGCAAATTATTGGCATGGAAATCTCACGGGAGTAAGTTTGCAAAACAAAAAAACCAAAAAAAATCAAATGAGAAAACGAAAAAGTTTCGTGAAACTAACTTTTTGGCCAGGGAGGATCGCAGTCGAATTGCCTTCTTTCAGAGCGTTGGCTGGTCCGTGGGCACAACGCTGATGCCGCTGCTGTTCTGGTGGCTGCGCCACTGGGAATCCTTTATGTGGCTAACATCGCTGCCCACGGCGATGGTTTTAATTTTCTCCAAGTAAGTCACGCAGTCAATTCAATTGAATGCTCCAACTATTGTCCAAGCTGCTGTCAATAGCCATTCCCATACGCATTTATTCCCCTTTCTATTTCTTTTTCTTTTTCGTTTCTTTGTTTTCAGATACGTCATCGAATCGCCGCGCTGGTTGATTAGCAAGCAGCGCTACCGAGAAGCCATTGTGCAGTTCAAGAAGATTGCCAAAATTAATGGGCGCACATTCGATGTGACCGAGAAAGAGCTGACCGAAATCTATAGCCAGGACAAGCAAGAGGTTACCTATGGCATGGCCTCGCTGTTCGCCGGCTGGCGTCTGGCGCGAAACACCACCATCATGGGTTTTAGCTGGTGCGTATCAAAAAACCAATTTGCATACCTAACTGCTGGCCATTTTGGTTGATTTCTTCACAAACCATCCGAACCATTAACAGGTGCGTGGTTGCCGTTTCCTACTTCACATTGGTGCTCTTCAGCTCGCGGATGGCGGGCAATCCGTTTTTGAACTTTTTGTACCAGAGCATTGTGGAAATACCCGCCTACATGGTCGGCAGATACCTGGGTGAGTAAGAGGCAAAATAAAAAAGTACGCTGTGCAGTTTGTACCAAACCGGCCACTGATTGCCAAATATGCTTATCTTCCACTCTTTGGCATTGGATTCCTCCCACATGCGGCAGGCGACAAGTACGGACGCCGCTTTACCAATTCGGTATCCTTTCTCATCTCCTTCATCACCTGCCTGCCCATCATTGCCTATGCCACCGATGAGCGCTTCGAGTGGCTGATGATCTATTTGGCCACGTTCATCAAATTCCTCAATGCGGTTACATTCTTTACGGCCAATCTGCAGTGCCTGGAGATCTATCCGACGTGCATGCGTCAGACGGGCATTGCACTGGGCTCCATTTTGGCCAATGCGATTGGCGTGCTGGCGCCTTATCTGGTGTATCTGGGGACGACGGTTAACATACGCGCTCCTTATTATATACTGGGCACCCTGTTTCTGCTGGGCGGAATCGGTGCCCTGTTTCTGCCAGAGACCCTGCACAAGAAGCTGCCAGACACCATCAAGGAGGCAAGGAACTTTGGCAGGCACGATGTAAGCATCAGCCATCAGGCATCGACGGCATCTAATTTATAATTTAAATTATGCAAAGCAGCCGTAGCCTAATTTCATTTTTCACAAATTTAATTTACAGAAATTCTTCAGTCTGCCAAAAGCGCCGCTGGCCCAGGAAAAGAAGTCTACATCGCAGCCGGAGCTAACCAAGCTGAATCAGCCGGCATTTGCGCCATGAATGAGAAGCTGAAGATGAAGCTGAAGCTGCAGCTAAAGCTGAGGCAGAAAGGCAATTGATTTGCTTGGCCCGTTGTGATGTTACATTAAGTACGCCCCAAGTATTACGAATAAAGTGTTGTTATACTTAACTGTATGTTTGTGTATGTGTGCGTGTGTGTGTGTGTGTTTATGTGTATACTGCGTAATAAGCCCTACATAAATCACAGAGACGCCGTCGAGAATGAATGAAATCTCTGCAATGAGTTTATCAGCGCATCTGTCAGATATTTACAAATTACCTGCGATACCAATGCCATCGCCCTTGGCAAGAATACGCGGTGGGTACAAGCGCGCGTGTGTGTGTGTGAATGTTGCTTATGCTGATGCTACTGTGGCTAATTTAATAAATGGCTTGGCATACACACGCGTCGTATGCGTAATGCGCTCCACTCGCCTGATTTATGCCAGTTATGTATCAATTTTTATCACCAGTTGCAAAAATGAGCCGCCCACACAGACCCCAAAGACCTGGCAAAGTGTTAAACTGTAAGCAGACACTAACACCATCAGCAGCAATAACAACAACAACAACAAAAAAACAAAATGTAACAACAATAACAGGAATGAAAAGTAATGCAAGTAGGATAATAACCTGGAAATTTAGATACCCTTCAGAGCAGCTGCTTTAAAAGAGACCAGACATTAGTTTTATATATAAGTTTTTTAAGTTTTATATATAAATCAAAGATTAATATTGTACCTCAAACTCTAGATTATAATCTGATTGATTTTGTACCTATTCGGATATCGCATTTGGAGAAGCATATCGCATTGAGAACAAAATAACTATATCTTTTTTTCGTTTTTTCTTTGAACTAGGAGAACTGTTTTGTATTTATAACACTTTTTATTTAAATAATTCAAGTAAAAATTATTTCATAAATAATAAAACTACTTTTAATATAATGAGAAAATCAATATAATTGAAATTATAATTTGAATGAACTACCAGCCCATATTTCACACAACTATCCAAAAGCGTTGCCATGTTTTCACATGACTTAAACTCGGTTTGCATACATGGTGCAAGCTTTTCAGACTACCAAATCCCTTGTCGGTGCATGTTACGAACGTTGTTACAAAGTTATAATGCCCGCCAAACACACGGCAAGTTTCAACAGGAGCAAAACTTGTTTGGCAACAGGCACGCAGCCAGGCAGACAACGACGTGCAACTTTTATGCGGCAAGGTGTTTCGTTTTTCAAGTTATTTATTATGATTTATTTGCCAATGTGGCAGCATCTCAGACTGAGAGCTGAGCGAGCTGTGAGCCAAGAGCCGAGACTGCGTCCAAGTCCCATAGTTGGCGTTGAAGGCCTTCTCTGCTGGCCTGCAGCAGCGATAAGTAAATTGTTTATCCTTCTTGTGAGTTATGTGCTGCGACGCTACGGCCAGCCGGGGCAGCCTTTCAGCTTGATGATCAGCTTGATGTTCGCAGCGCAATTGCCCCGCACAGTAATGGCCCCGGCAACAACGGAGGCAGCAGCAGCAGCAGCAGCAGCAGCTAACATTGTTATGCTTTCATAAACAGCTGAGCGCAATTTTCTGATAAGCCATAGTCCTGGCTGCACTTTCAGAGTGTGCGTGTGTATGTGAGTGTGTGTTTGTATGTGTGGGTGTATGCTGCTGTTGCTGGCTATTTGTTTCAATTTATCATAAAAGGCAACGCCGGAAGTCAGCCAAGCTGCAGTTGAATGAACGACAAGCGAGAATGTCTTCAGCCAGCTTAGCCCTAAGACGACGGGCCAAGTCCTTGGCACTGACTCTATAGACTTACAAGGGATTTTGAGGCATTTGAAGCATCAATGGCATCATGAAGCGCGCCACAGCAGAACACAGCAACTGCTTAAATATTATGCGCAATTATCGCCGTCTGGCTGGCTGCCAAATGCCTTTTAAAGCTCGGGGAGCCGCGGCAAAAATTTTGACAAAAATTGTATAGAACTCGTAATCTTAATCGCTAAAAGTTCAGATTGGAACAATGAACCCAAATCTTACTTTTTCCCAGAAACAAAAACATGATATAACTATAAACCCCATAAATGAATATATATATTCCTTTTTTTACTAATTATTTGTTTAACTACAATAAATAGTAGTTATCCATAGTAGCGATACCACACCTTAAACCAGACTTCAATTAACCGAGAGTAAAAACAAAATCATCTGCCATGTGGATCCGAAACTTGCAAAAATTGTTATGTCTTGCCTTGCGATTTTGGTTTTACATAACATACGAGTCCAAGACAAAAACACATTCCAAAATCAAACTTTCTCTATCTAAGATTTTCCAAAAAATTAACACAAGATGCCGACCTTAAAATCGACCATTTTATCCAGTGAAAATCTGCAAGGATATGGCCCTCATTTTTAGGGCTAAGAAGGAACAAGAGAAACCAAACTTTTTTTAAGTGTTTAAATCCTGTCCTTGCAAGGAAAATCTACGAATATTTGACAAAGGTTTTTATTTGTTTAAATTCAAATACTTACTTTATTCTTTTTTAAGCTCATAAGTATGCAATGAAATTTCTAAACTGTGGTGCAACACAAAAGTCTGCAATAGTTTGTTTCATTACCTTTAAAATTCGGGTGCACTTTATTAATATAATTAATATTTATTTAGTCAACTTTAGAGTATTTAGGTGCAAGCTCCAAACGTATATTATCCCCTCACATGTCGCTAGCTCAAGCTGCTGATGTTAGGTAGAATCCTCTTTTAGAATTGATATATCAAATTAATAACAAAAAGGCAAATTAATTTAAGGAGAAAATCAAACGCTTTTCTTTTATTTTTCATTTGAAACGTCACCCAATTCAAACACTTTTCCAATCAGATGGATTACAACCAGCCGCAAGACAATTCGAATTGGTTTGCTTAGCTTTGTCGTTTTTACACCAAACCCTTTTGCAATCAGATTAATTCCAGTACAATTTAAACCAAATCTATTTTGGAGCCACTGTAAATATATTCTGCAGGGTTGCTTAGCTTGGAGCAGCGAGGCGCTTGTGAAATTCTTGAAGCTTTTCATATTTCACTCAATTGGGTATGAATAAAACTATTTGCAATATTTCATGCAGCCAGCTGCCACATGAACAAAATCCAGTCGGGGGAAAAGTACAAATACGGGGAGGGAGTTGCACGTTGGCTGTTGCTGTGGGTGCAACAACAATGATTGCGCTTTATTTGCGATAATAAAACACACCATCGCGCCCTGGAGGACAACAACAAGGACGATGGAGACTTTGGGCGAAATCGAACCGCGAAATTGTAACAAACTGCGCGTGCATTGGCCTCCATGGCAGCGGTAATAGCAAAAGTCAGGACCCAGACCCAAGCACCAGGATCCGGATGCGGCAGCGGCAGCGGCAGCGCGAATGCGAGCGCCAACAAGGATCCGGTCGCATTGCCGGGACGCAAAATATGGCAAGCTGCAAAGAATATTTAAGCTGCGACGGTGCTGCAAATATTAAAGAAAAACATGTGAAAATAAGAATGCGAAGCGAGCGGGGGGGCTGTGGACGGGGGGTGGCACGAAGTGAAATTGTTCTGGATGCTGGCAGAAGGATTTACTGCATATTTCATGTTCACAACGAACCAATTTTACGCTCTTCAAATCCTATTAGTCAATGGCCCTTTGGGGATGCAACGGCTGCGCTAGTTACGGCAGCTGTTCGGCAATGTCTAAAGGGTTGACCGGGGCTAGCGGGGGTGGTTGGGTGGTTGGGGGGCTGGGTGGCTTGACTGGTTTGCTTCTGTTGCACTCTCATTGTGTTTTACTTATAGACACATGTATATATATACATATATATATAAGTAATACTGAGGCGACTGGCCCAGGTCAGCTTAGTGTGCCTGGCGTTTCCGCACGATTATGCCCTGTGAGAAAGCGGGTGTGCGAATGTCCGCGTATGTCTATGTGTGTGTGTATGCTTGGGCTGGAGGCTAAGCCAGTTTCAGCCCCAAACCTACGGTAAAGGCCCTCATCAATCTCGCTGCTTGAGCGCATGAATTATGAAAAACGTGCAAAATGCAAACGGAAATTAAAATCTATCGCAAAAAAACTGTATATACGAAAACCCTTTTGCCACACACATGAGCTAAGGCGCTACACACTTACACACACACACACACACACACAAACAGCAACTGCTAAGCCAAAACAAAATTCACAGTTCGTTAAACAAATGCGCGCTGTTTGGGCGCATAAAATCAAACAAAGCTTAAAAAAAAATAAAGAAAAAACAATGTAAAGACAATTTAATATATTATAACCGTGTAAAGCCGAGCCGGGACAGGCAACGCCAGCCAGATTTGACAGGCGCCCAGACCGGCCGTTGTCTCCTGCACAGCTGTTGAAAAACAAACCTCAACTTTTGGTCGCATACAAAATTTCTGTCATGCTGAACGCGACTGAAGCCGGTTGGTTGGTTGGTGCCTGCACTGATGTCCTTTATTAATTTAACAGGCTGCCACTGCGCCTTTGACTACAACTTGATCTACAACAGCAACGAAATTCAACAAGCCATAAAACATATGAGAGTCCATGCATTTTTCATGAGGTGTTGGCTTTTGTGCCCATCACAGTCATCAGCAGCAGCAGCAGCCATTGCAATGCCAAACATCAGCCAGAGTCAGCTGTGGGCCTGCCAGCTCTAGTGTCTACTGCTGCTGCTCCTGCTGCTGCTCCTGCTCCTTGGCCAGGTGCTGCTGCTACTGCTGCTGCTGATGTTCTGGCTACACTTGAACTTACAATGACATGTTCGAACTGTGTGAGCTCTGCATATTTGCCAGCAATACACTGTGCAGGTGCATTCCATTTATTTCTACTTTTTCTCTGCTGTTTTTACAAATTGCTTTCATTAGTTTTAATGGAGCTGCCTGTTAGATGATATTTGTAGACGGTCTGCGTATTTTTGCATTTCTGAGCATTTTGATATTTCAAAAAATAAAAATAAATACCTCCTCTGGCCAAGTGATTAAACCAAAACGCTTTGCCAATGGACACGAATGTAAAATAAATAGTATTGGAATTCTAAGAAACAATTTAAATATTTAAGCTCAATGATTTAACACCAGAGAAATAAATCAAAATACATAAGCCTGAAGGCAATTAAAATTGTGTTACACGAAAGTCTGCATATAGCTTGAATTGAAATCCTTGAACATTTCTGCGAAAATTCAAAGATAATCAGCAAATAGCCTTTTTAATAAGAAATCAAGCCCAATCAAAGCTCAAATTCCAAGAACTGCAATAAATATAATGCCAATATTTAATATCCGAACATATTAATGACGGGTTAAAGCTCAACTTAAACACTTTTTACAATTTAAGCACACTTTATTCATTTAAATACGCATTTAAACATAATTTTGATTCAATTTGCTGCAAAAGTGCCTTATGATAGATGCCAATTTTCTATATATTTTATTTTATTACTAAATGCCTGCTGCCATAAGCCAACTGGCATACAAACATACATTAAATACACGTAGCATTTGTCAGATGTATCCTAAATGTTTATTCAAAATACATATAGATTTTGTGTGTATATATGGATTATTAGCATATATATAAATATATATATACCTGCTAGCACGTGTGCCAGTTTTTTTAAAACAACGTATTTATATTTATTCGCTTACATTCATAAATATTTGTTATTCATCGCGCAAACAACTTTTTTGCTTCAGCCAGGCATTTGAAATACATTTTGGCATTTTGCTTGAACACTTAAATATGTAAATTGAAATATACATGTATGTATATCTGTATATATGGGATATTTCAGTTTTTCAGCTCTAGCACTATTAATTGTAAATGTATATAAATATATTTGTATCTCATCAATATTTATGCGCAACCAATAAATATACATTCATATATATATATATATATCAATTTTTGTATTTTCTGTCTCTTAATATATTGATTTTTTATCTCAATTGCTCGGCAAACTCTGATGGCCATTTGAAAATTGGTTTTTGAGTCAATTGCTTGGTTCTGGCCAATTGTGAATGCTGCTATTTGCTTGAGCAAAGTATTATTTGCTTAAATATATTGACGAATTGTCTTGTATATTTGTAATTCTGATATTTAATGCACTATAAACTACGCATGTGTATATATATATTTATGCTTTTAAAGTGTTTTTATTTATATTGTTTGATGGCTTAAATTTTATCGATGTCACATTCATTATTTCAACTGGCACTTAACATATGATTGTGTGTATTAAATATATGTTAACAAAGATATTTCCAGTCGCAGTGGAAATGCTTAATTTAAGAAAGATCTGACTGTATGTGTGAGTATAACTATATTTTATTTTGTTTGTTTGCTTTTGCGTATACTTAATATTTGGCTATGCGAAATTAAAAATGAGCCTGCAACAAATTGAAAAACTTTCATAAAAACTGTTTCGTTTTATTGCTATTATTGTAATCCTGCGTTTGCTGTTGTCTGCACATTGTATTCCATACACATACATAGTCTATGTATGTGTGTGTGTGTGTGTGTATGTAGTCAAACAATTATATGTATGTAACTGTACTGTACTGTATGTATTGTATATGCTTTTTAAAACGGCGCACAATTTAATACATGACTGCCTATATTGCCTATATTTAATTTCACCTTTTTTTCACTGTTTGCATTTTGTATGTCTCTATACTATTTCACTATGGCTGGTTGATTTTACGAATGAGTTTCATTGCATTTAATTAAATTTCAATGATAAAATGATAAAAGGCAAACGCGGCCTGCATGGGAAAGCAGCAGACTTAATTGCTCGTTAACAAAAATTAAAAGCAAATAAAATATATTTTTTAAAAATTTGCATAAAACATGTGATTCGCAATCAAGTATAAGTCCAGGATAATTGAGCACGTTATGCACATCACTTTCCACGAATGAAATGCAACAATTGAAATTAATGTGCGAACAAAGTGTTAATAAACACGACAAATTACCAAAATTGAGGTGAAATCGATGGGCAGAACACGCTTCCAATATTCTTAACTCGACAGCATTTTTAGCTGCCAGAAAAGTACTTTGGCTAATCACGGCGAGGGCTGCCAACAAACCGGAAACGGATGCGAAAACGCAAGCACGCAGCCCGCATTAAATGGCCATAGTTGTCTAGTGCTCTGTTTTGCACTCACGTAGCCGCTAAATGTTTCAATTTTGGCAGCTCCATAAGGCGCCAGCGGACATTTAATAATAAATGCAGTCGCCAGCCAGCCACAGGAACTGACATTTGTGAGTGCGCGAATTGCAAGGACAACAGCGTGTGCGCTCTTATCCGAGTATTTTTGTGCCTTTTGGCCAAAATGCAAATAAAATTATAAGCGATTTCAAATTTCAAATGCTTTGCGCCGCTTTCATGGCGAAATGCAAATCGCATTCACCACGCAGAGAGAGAGTCCATTGGACAGGCCAGCAGCCAAGCCAGGTCCTGGCCAGTGTCAACTTCGTTGCATACTTTCCAGCGCGACATGCAATTAAAATGCAAAAAAGCCAACGGCAACAACTGCTGCACAAATCCGCCCGCCCAATCAAACCAAAGACCAAAATCGATGCACTTCAGTGCGGAAACGGAAATACGAGTGCCCAAACCCAAACCCAAACCAGGCCGAGACGTACCGAACCGGCACAGCCCAGCCCAGATCCAGGCAGGACCTCAACCAGCAGCAGTTGCTGGATTGTCTATACAGTGTCTGCGGTTGGCGCAAGTTTGCTGTATATGTTTGCGTGTGGGTGTGTGTGTGTGTATGTGTATGTGTGTTTGGGTGTGTGTGGTCGTGTTGATTCAGCGTTAAGCTTGTTGGAATTTCGCGTTTTGTCAACATTCCTCGCCAAGTTGCTGATGCATTTGCCGCTAGTTATTTCGCCGTCTAAGGCTGTTGGAATATCGAGTATGGCATATGGTTTGCCCTGGCATGTTCGAAGAAGTTTTGATTGACTTGTGGATGCTTTTAGTTTGGCTCAAGTGTGTACGCCCAAAATAAATAGAACAAAATCTTTTAGCTGCATATGTTAAACAAAAAGTTTTCTGTAGATCAACTGGCCGTAGGTTTGTTATATCTATTGAATTGTAATTATCGTAATGGCTTCAACTGTTTGCAGTAAGTGCTGTCTATCATACTATATTAATTAGCTCTTATACTGTTCAATATCACCTTTACACTGCACTACAAACTATGTTTATGTTTAAATTCGTATTGCTCGCTTAACGTGTGTATCACCCGAACCCGACTAACTAGCTTCATTTTGAGTGCATATGGTATTAAATGGAATGCATGCCTCTTAAATATGTAAATCTTATGCAGCATCGATGCTGATGGCCGTATCCTAGGGATGCTTTGTATAATTATTCAATGGCATCTCCGTGGCCAGACTGTGGGCCACCTCCTTGTTGCGTTCATGCAGGGCAATGTCCATGGGTGCGCTGGCTGGTTTCTTTTGCGCAGCTTTTTGCGTCTTAAGCTGTGTGAAAATTAAAAAACAAAAAAATTAGATGCAAATGGCAAAGAAAGAAGGAATGGATAAGTCAGTTATGGGCATTCTCATATTTACTCGCTGTATGGTCTTCTCAAAGTCCTGCGGGGGTTCGGGTCGTTTCATGGTGCCGCAGCTTTTCAAGCGCTCGTTGGTCTGTTAAATGCAAACATAAATTCATGGAATAAATAAGTATTTTTGGCCCATGATTACTTCATTAACTTAAGCAGTCCAGAACTTTGCCAGCCAGACGGCATAAAACAAATCGACACCTCACAACAAAAACCACAATAAAAGGGACGCACACAAACACACACACACACAGGCAGACAAATGAAAATGTCAAATGAAAAGCGCCGGCCAACGAAAAATAATGAAAGACCAAACAGAGAATTTCCCTAAAGCAACATTTCCGCAACAGACCGCATAATGAGAGCGTAGCCAAGTTTAGAATTATACATACGCGTCTGTGACCTCTTGTTGCTGGCTAACCATGGCCGGCAGCTGTTGCCGGGACCCCGGTTCATGGTATAAACAAGGTAATGAGTGCCAAAGGACAACACACACACACACACACACAGCAAGTTGGCGGGCCACAATTGTCGCCAGTGCTTAGCCCAAGTCATTTTCAAAATTGACCACAAAGAACTGGGAGTCTGTTGCGCTGGGCGACAGCAAATTGCGCTTAAATATTAAATGAGCAGCAACACAAAAAAAGTCACATAAAAAAAGAGCAACAACAACAACAAAAGGCAGCAACACAAATACGGCAAAGAAACGCCGGACAACAACCGTAAAACACGAAAAGTTATAAACTCTCGCAGGAGCACAAAAAAGAGACTCGCAAAACAAAAACACTTTTTGGCACGCCTGAAATAATAAAAACAAATGCGACGCTGTCGTTGGATGTTTGAAAAAAAGAAGAAAAATAACCAAAAAGAAAGGACATTCGTGTGCTGGGAATCACCGGATGCCAACCGCAAAATGCCAACGCGCAAAGGTGCAAATGAGTGGGTGACCCGCCGGACCCAACCCAATCAGGCCGATCCCCAAGAATTGCAAGCCGTACAGCTCGACCGGACAAATCCTTTGGCTGCCCCTTTTCCTGCCACAAGCCCATCCTTGCAACTCGCACCTGCACAGTTCATATCTCTTTGGCCGTTGTCGGTCTGCTATTTGCATGCAGCACATGTCTGTGCTGCACCTCCTTCGCCATCTCTCTCTACCCCTCTCCCTGTCCCTCTCACTCTCGTAAGCCCTGCTCTTTTGCCCTCTTACAATTCTGTTTTGTCATCTCGTGCACCGCACTTCGCACAAGGCAACGCAATTAACGGTAATTGCCTTTTATCGGCTTAGTCCTGATAAGTTTTTTCTCTTTGTTTGCATCTCGTTCCCTCTCACTCTCCTCTCTTTTTCTCTGTCAACTTTGCAGTTGCTCTTATTGTTGTTGTTATTTGTGGGCTTGCGCGGTTTTTATATTTTAATTTAATTTTATAAGTAGCACACGGGAGGCGACCCCCGAGGTCAAAAGTTTGTCTTTGCAAAATTTAGTCATTAAACAAAGCGTTCCTAAACTTTTTGGCATTGGCTGTCGGCAGGAAATGCTTTGAAGTACATTAAAAAGCGGCTTAATATGTATAATTTACGGTTTATATTTAAATATAAAAAATATCAAAAAAAATTAAAATGTGGTGCATGAAGGTAAAATGTTCAAAAATAAATATTTATACCCTCCACCATTATTCCATTATATTAATATACTATCTACTTTTAAAATTACGCGTTACATTAAAATGTCTTGTGCCAATAAAATAAATAGTGCCACAAATTAAGCCTGTGCCAATAAATCTAAATACCCTGTACAAAAACTGACTCGGAAAGATATGTTGATTGTTTCTTATGTTTTTATCTGTAAGTATGTTTTTATCAATAAGTAAAAATGTATCGAAACCCATACAAATTATGAAATAATCACCAAAAAAAATACTATATGCTGATTAAATAACCTTTTCCAATGAAATGTACCAATTAAAAGCTTTATAATCACCAAAATGTGCCAATTTATATTTATATGTCTTTCTACTTTCTCGCATGGTGTACATACTATTCTCTAATTTCCAGAAAATAACTACTTAAGCAAGCTCAACATGTGTCCCTTAACCCACCCACACTCTTACCTTCTCACTCACCTTTAGTTGCATACCCTCGTTGGCATTGAGCTCGTCTCCGCTTTGCCGCAGGCCCTGCAGGAAGCGCGCAAAGACCGTGCGTCGCTGTTTGTTCTTGTTGCGCCCCTCTAAAAAAGGTAAAAAGAAATCAAACCGATATTAAAAGCCACAATCAAACAGTCTGTACGCTAAACATATAGGTACACAAATCTACTGAGAAACGAGGACTGCGCAAGCCAATTTAATTGAATTAAAAGCCATAAAAAGTTAAACAGCCGACAAAGTGGCAAGCCACATGCAGCGCATCCAAAAAATGTTTGGGTGGGAGACTACACCGCCTGAAGAACCCCTTCCAGTTAGATGCCCTTACCTGTTGCCGAAAAATCGTAAAAGAAATTGGTGCGCGCCCCGGGATAGCTGTGCTGCATTCCATTCAGATTGAGCGCCGACTTGGAGTCGATGGCATTGCGGGCCATGCGATTGGCCAAATCGTTCTGGGTATAGCTGTAGATCTCGTTCTCCTCGCGATTCGACAGGCAGCTCGATGGCTGCACATGCATAATAAACGAAATGAATTAGAAGCCATTCGCCAGGCGGCTCGTGCGGCCTGATTAGCTCGAATCGTAAAAACACTGAGCCGTAAAAAGTCAATGTGCACTTTGCTTACCAAATACTTGCCGGGCACATAAAGCGGCTGGCTGTGACTGGTGGGCAGCACCGATGAGCCAACCAGTCCACCACCCCCGCCGCTGCTCCCACTGCTGCTGCTGCCAGCGCCAGCGTTGCGACGCGTTAACGTATGCCCCGTCGAGATGCGCACATGTCGTTCCTTCCACTTCGAAAGACGCACCTGCTCAATGGCATCCAGCACATCATCATAGGGCATATTAATCTGTTTGCTATAATGCGCGGCCAGGCCTTCCAAGTAGCCGCGTTTCCCCTCCTGAGGGAGGAAGAGCAAGAGAAAAAGTTAAAGACTGCATAGAATGTTTTTTTTTTAGAATATATATAAGCTAGCAGGAATTACCCGGCTTTGTCCGGGCCAAATGAACATTATATATTCAATTATACACATTTATATATTCATTTTCAACCCATTTCCCACATTAGATTCAAATTCACTTGCATCCCAGCCGCAATCTAATCTCCCAAGATATTGACCAGGGTCAAATGCTGAGGCACTTTGTGGCCCAGAAACACAAGTGTTAATATCTTCCGGTAATTAGCGTAAGTCTGCCACTTAAATGTGTCCTGCTTGACATTCAAAGCGTCCACTGAAGCATCAGTGCATCCTCTCAAGGCATTCTGAATGTCTCTGTGTGTGTGTATGGTGTGCATGCGTCTGTGTCTGTCTGCTACTGTGGCTGCCAGGCAAATTCATTTAGAGTCGCAGCCATGCAAACATTTGTGCTGAAATGCAACTTGTCTGCAACTGTCAGTCAGTCAGTGATACACACACGCACACACACACGGACTGGGACACACATGCACACACTCGTGTCTGCCTCATCAGCGCAAAGTGCAATTAGTTGAAGTTGCGCGCATCAACATGCCCCAGACAGAGGAAAGCACCCCAGAAGCTAACAAGTCTAGCCTCGGCTCACCGATCCCCTCCAACTCTTTGTAGTCTCGCACGAGCGCAGACACCTGTCAGGCCAACACACACACACACACGCACATACAAAAGATATACATATTTATTTTTACTTGACTGCATTTCCATTTCATATAATTTTATTGCCGCTTTTAAGTTGCATTTCAATTTGCGGTCGGAACGTGATATTGCGCATACGCCGCGTGGTCCGCCCAAATGTTGCCAAAACAACTGTAAATATTTGTCTACATTTGAACAGGCAAACTATGTTAAGTACCCAACAAAAAAAAAAAAAACATTACCAACAACGCAATGGCTAATTAAAATGCAAGGCAGCTGCTGGATGGCAGCCTATGTCAAAGTTGCCACAAAACACGCCACAAGAGGCTCTCCGTTTCGTGCTTCATCATCAAAACTGCACAATTTGGCACTTGTGGCAAGTGCTGGGCGTGGCAGCCATGTGACGCGCCTGCATAATAAAACAGCGACAAGTACCAGGCACTATGCGTGCTCAATAGGCTGCCCCGACCACGCCCATTTGCCCATACGCCTCAAATATGCAACTTTAAATCAAAAGCAACAGCTAGACTCATTCCGCATTTATTTGCAGCGCATTTCTTCAAATGTGAAACACGGCCCTGAACCAGTGACATGTTTTTTCTTTTATATGTTTTTTTTTTATTTTATTTTTTATAAATCTGCGCAAAACTGCATGACAACTATGGATAAAAGGGTTGCCAACTGAGCTTGGAAATTGGAGCTTTTGCACTGGCTGTCCCTTGACACGCTTACAAAACTCATCACACTAGATGTGCCAATGCGAACATGTCCGCAAAAGTATATATTTCCTTTAATGCACGCTTTTTATGCATAGTGGGCACAGTGGGTCGCATGCTGCCAAAAGAAAACTCTGAAACATGCTCATGAATATTCATGATAGTTTCAATATTTAGGCCGTACACAAGCGATTTTCAACTATATTTGTGTTTTTCTATAATTTCCGCCAAAGTTTTTTAATTTTTCCCTTAAATTCACACAACGGACTTAAACCCTTTTAAAATTTGAATTTTGATTTCCACACCAAGAAATTTGTTATCGATTTTAATTTCTTCATTAAAATCATCAGAAAATTGAAAAGAGGTGCGTCATGCGTAATAGTAGAAATTTAATATAATATTTAATATTTCAGAGATCTGACTTTATATTTAATATATCATATTTATAAAATATCTTTAAATTAACATAGCTCGTAAGATCAGACTTAATATGCCCGAAATATCTCAATTATAATATTTAAAGCGCAGTAAATAAACATAACTAGTAAGACATGCTTTTTTCGGACTTATTTTATATAAAACGCAGCCCACTGTTTACATATACAGCTATTTTGTTCTCTCTTTTCGCTTGGATGTTGCAACTCTTGCATTATGGCCACATTGTTGCCAGCGTTGCTTTATCGTGCGTGTCTAGTGGCAGCAATTTGGCAATGTTGCAAGCATTGCAAAAATTTGTGTATTGGCAGATCATTAAAGGGTTTCAAACCGCCTGGTGACTGTTGCCCTGCTGCTCTGCTGCTCCACAGTGGCGTTTATGGCCCAATTTGTTAAGGGCGCCACCATTTGGGGGGGAGGGAGGAACAAGGCAGGAAACATAGAAACAGCACCCGCTAAAATAAACAAAATTAACGCGAGGCTAAAAGCGTTTCCCACGGCTAAACCAGACCGACATATTATAAAATAAACTTTCGAGCGAAAAGTGTACAACTGGCTGCTCGGTGGGCGGTGGTTGGGCAATGGCCACCAGGCCAGGCCAGACCAGACACGCGGTTGGCCACTCGGTTTAACTAAATTAAAATCGTGTTAATTTCACATTAGAGCGCACACCAGGCCGCTGTCCGTTTGGCTGTCCCCAAACGGTGACCATTACAAACTAGCGGCGACTGTCACACGCTGCTGGAACAGCAACTACAACAACTACAACATCCAGGCAGGACAACAAGTCCCCCATGGAGAGCATGCAAATTGCAAGCGGTAAATAAAATGTCCAAGATAAGCCGGCACTAGCTGGGGCTGGGGTGGTGGCCATGGTGGCCAACGCCAGTCGAGTACTCACCGGCGAGGAGTATGGATGGGCTGTGAGGCGTATGCCATCTGCCTCCAGATGCCGTTTCATCACCCCCTCCAGCTCCTTCATGGTAATGGGCGTATCGCAGTCAGAGGCAAGTATCTCGTTGCTGTTGCTGAGCGCCTTCGGATCATTGATGAGCACATAGACAATGGCGGCGCCCTTCTCACGCAGGGCACGCACGCTTTTTAGTAGCTTGCCGCGGTGCGTGGGATTGTCCACGCCAATGGCATCCAGATCGATTTCGCCAATTTGCTTGCATATCTCCAGCTCATCGTAGCCATTCTCCAGGAAGCTCTCGCCATACTGCGGCAGCCCAATTGTGCGCAGCCACTCGCAAACGATATTGTGGTGCGGCATATTCGCGTATCACGTGGCGGCCGATGGTGCCGCAATGTCCAGCGGTGCGAATGAGACCTTGGGCAGTCGGGGCTTGGTGCTGCTGCCACTGCTGCTGCTGCTGGCCGCCAGTGGCTCCAACTGGTTGCTACTGCTGGCGGCGCTGCTGCTGCTGCTGTTGACCGTTGCCTTCATAGCAACGCCTGCAAAGGGAAACAGTGGCAAGGATAAGCGAAAAGTGAAGAATGGAAAGTGAAAGCGAACTTATGTTACAATGTGCAACAGTGCGTATGCTTAATAAAGCCTGTCACTTCCGGCGCCCACAAAGTATGCACTGGCTGTCAAAGCAGCACAATAGCCGGCCCAGACAGGTATATGTAGTATATCAATTTGCGTTAATAGCCATCATTGTTCACAAACTGACAACTGAGAGGGTGAGAAATTGAAAGACTGCACGGCCAGCCTATAAGCACTTAATGATAATGCTCGGTCATGTACACGGGCCACTAAAACACTTGAATATGTTTAGCCCCGGAAGCCACTTGCATATGAATAAGCCACTTAAAATGACAGATGGACTAAGCACGCACACACACACATCCACACAGAGACAATCACAGGCAGCTGTAGACTTTGACTTGGACAAAAGACAAAAGGAAGTCGTCTAACTATTTATAATGCCCCGGGCAGACAGTTCGTCCTGCGCCTGAAAAATATTTTTGCTTGTCGAAAATTGAAATGCAAATGGCTGCTGCCACTAGAAATATTGGCAGCCATTTCCACAACACATTCGTTTGGCTTAGCTCAGGTGGCCAGTCGTGCGCAGACACTCGCACACTCGCACACACGCACACACACACATTTCTAGAAACCATCTCCGATTTCAGCCCTATGCTATAACGAATTTAAACCTAACGCTCACCCAGGAAACAATGCCCTAATGAAAAGATGTGGCTACAGTTTTCGGTTGCGCCTGCTGCTGCAGCTGTCATTAAGTAGAAAGGTCCAGTGACATCGTCTGTGTGTTGATTTATTCACACACAAATACGCACACGCACACACACATAAATATTTATAAGATATTTCATTTGTTGTTTTGTGCCACTTGGGAGCACATTCAGGCACTTGAGTTTGCCATTCCGACTTATTGATCAAAACATGTGCAGCTAAATACCACAATCAACAGCACTCGTTGTGCCACATTTCTATGTCATGGGTCGTATTGGAAATTTCTTGTAAAGGGGTTGAAACAGCCCTTAGCAATTAAATGTCCAAATTGCAATATCATAAATAATTGTAAATTATTATATCATAAATATTGCTAGGGAATTCCCCTAGTATGCGTAACTCTGTTATCGTCTATCCAGGTGTTACTTAAGTAATAATTGTTACTTTCGATAAATATGCTTCCGATAGCAACAGTTAGCCGGATGTGATATATGTCTTATTATTTCGTCCTCAATTGCACTTAAACTTGTTATAGCCTTGAGATAGTATTAAAATTAAGTCATTAAATAAGTAAGGCTTAGAAAGAGACACATTCGAACCCAAAAAGTAGAAATATTATTTTATATTTTTTATCAGTATCAATAGCCGAAATGATATAGTCATGTTCGTCTGTTCGTCTGTCTGTTTCCTTGAAAACAAGTCCCTTAGCTTTATTTAAAGCTATGGTCGCAAAACTTCAGATAGACCCTTCTCTTGGTTGCAGGCAGAATATATGAGGGAATCGGCCGGACCGGACTACTATACCATATTGTACATAGGAATGATTGGTAAAGAATTAGGTTCTTGTATGAAGTACTTTCTTGTCTATCAAGATATCTTGGCCAAGCCTGAAAGTTATTAGTTTCTCACAAGTGAGCCAAATCTATATCATATAGCTCTTTAAGAAGAATTGGTCGGAAAATGAGTTTAAAGTTATCTCTGGCATTTAACATAGAATCGTTTATTCGGATAGACAAATAGAAAGGAGAACGAGTTGACACAATTTTAAAAAATCATATTTTTTTAGAGTTTTAAAAAAATAATTAAACAGCTTAAAGATTCTTGATTTAAATATAAATGTATAAAATTTAATACTGAAAAAAAAACTATTGTTTATTTTTCATTAAGAATAAGCAGTCACAAAGAATAACTATTGCTGCAGAGTTCACTTATCATACTTTACAGCAGTTTATTTTGCATATTCATTAACACATACGCATGTATATGAATTTGTTTATGTTTAACTTTCATTCTTTGAAGAACTACGCCACTGTTTGCAACTGCCACAGTTGGAGCAATACACACACACACACATACGCACACACGCACACAACCAGAAACTTTTCTCGCATTGTTAGCATAATAAACACGTAATAAAATGCGTAAGGCAAAATCAGTAAAGTCAATGTTGAAGTAGTTGGATGCTTTCCATACGCTGCCGTTGCTAGACAAATTTGATTTCCAAGATGCCGGCCAAAAGGACCACAGCAGCAGCAACAACAACAGCAACAACAACAACGAGCGACAGTTAATGAATTTCCTACAGCATATTCAGATAGCAAACACACACAAGCACACACACACACACACACACACACATACTGGAAATGCATAAAATTTCTCGTGCACTCGGGCGGTCAGTGTAATTACTTGCATGACTGTAATGTCAGAATTTACATACGACTTTGCCAACGACTCTAGTTAGATAAGCGTCTTAAATTTTCAATTTCATTGTTTATTAAGTGCCAAATTAATGATGTATGTGTGTGTGTGTATATGTGTAAGTATGTATATGTGTGCATGTGTGTTCATGCGGAGCAATTGTCAAAGGTGTTTTGCTTTCGCACGATTTCCGTTTGTAATTGTAATTGTGTAAATTTTGTTCAATGCCCTGCCCAGCTGCATGTTTATGAGATTTCCTTAATTTTAATGCATTTGCAATTATGGCATTAATTATATGGAACGTGTGATTAGTTCCCTAGTTAGAAACTTGGAAGTACGATAATTGCATAAATTCTGTGTGCTAGATATTCCAAAAATCGATATCTAAGCTATTTCGCTAAGCGTTAATTAACTTTATATTATTGTTATTTATGTTCAAATTAACCCAAAATTTAAATGGCATTGCTTTCTGCATCATTAAGGCTTTCATATATTAGCCTGGCTTAAGAGTGTAAGAGCCACCTACTTTTAATAAGTGTACAGATTAAATCTTTTAATTTAATAAATATTAATATTATATACTCTATGAGCTATCCATAACAAATTCTTACAGTCTTATTCCTACGATTTCAACTTATTCAATTAAATCGTCTGGCAATATATTTTTGGTCAACTGATTTAAAAACAAATCATTTCAAACTACAAATTCCAAAAACTTACTATTATGATCAAAGAACTTACAAGCCGAAATAAATCAAGTTCTTAATTCAAAGTTGTGGTCATAGATGTGGAATACCAGGTGAATGAACCTCAATTCTGGGAGATGTTCGAGCCGTTAAGCGAACCAATAACTATTAATCCTGAACTTGCAGCCCTGATTCGTATACATTTAATCTTCATGTGAATATTATTTATATATTATATTATTTATGTTATATTCATAGGAATATTTTATTTTTATTTTTGTCTACCTGGTTAATTAAACCAATGCCCACTTTTACGCCTGGTATTAAAACCTGGTACCATATTATTAATAAGCCTCAATGATTATTTCAATCAGCTACCTCGTCTGCCAATATAATTCAAAAATTTAAAACTTAATTGCACGTATTTCTGTACATTTTTTTTCAAATTTAATCTTTCAGTTTAATTTACATAAAAATAATGTACTCCACGAGCTTTGATATAATTATTTGTACATTTATTTGCGTATCTCTAATATTTAACCAGTGCCCATTTTTATGCAAACCAGCCCAAGTAATTAATTTTAATATGAAAGTCAAACATGCGCTCTAACAATTGTCATATAATTTGCCGTCTAGACAGTGAAAATTTAGTATTTTCAATTAACTGCAGCAACAACTGCGCTGCCACCCGCCAACCGCCAGCGAAAACAATGCACACAAAAAGGAGCACAATGCAGGAGCTGGAACTAGAGCTGGAGCTGGAGCTGTAGCTGAAGCTGTTGTTGGAGTTGGAATTGTAACTGGATTTGCCTGGCTGCTATGTTGACAAAACACACAGTATGCAATCTCTACAAAAAATCGAGAAAAAAAAAAACCAGAGCACACAATGAGAACTGAGAGGCAGGCGAGAGAGATGGCGAAATTCAACTCGGGAACACCCTTGCAGACGCGACTGTTGGGTAACAGGCGCACAGCAAAAATCAGACGAGTTTGTTTTGGGCTCAAGGTTTGCTATGGAACAGCTGGCTGTGTGGCAGGTCCCCTCCTGCCGCTGCTGCTGCCGCCGCCACTGCTGCTGCAGTCGTGCGCGTCAATGTCAGTGCACCTGACGCTGCACTTGGCAGTTGCTACTTGCTGCACGGCACTCAGCACACAGCCAGACACCGTGTACCCCCAGCTGTGCCACCGGCACAGCAGCCTCTGACAGGCTACGCACTTGCGGTTGCTTACGGCTGGGGAAGCCTCACAAGCGCTTCGAGTGCCATCTTTCCTGTACCCGAGGGAGGGGACACTGCTTAACAAAGCGTGTGATGTTAACGGATTCGATTTCACTTTTTTTCTTTTTTTTCAACCGTTGCCTTTGACATGTCTCTTGCTTTTGTTATTATTGTTTTAGCTGTTGTCGCTGCTTAATTGAAATTGCATTTGCTGCGTTTGTTTGCACATAATTACAGGTTGTGAATTATAACAGGAACCCAAGACTTGTTTTGTTGGTTATGCAAATTCAAGACGAGTTGTCGAACAGAAAGCAGCGACAGATATTTCTGTGGTTAACGTGCTCACATCATATATGCTATATTCTACATTCACCCTTCTTATCGCACAATGCCTATGAAAAATTTGAATATCCGCTTCATATAAAAAGGTGCTTTCGAATGCGGACTTTCAGTATTTAGCCCCTAGTCTAAAAGAAAGGACCTGTCAATAAAACCCCAATTTAAAACAAGATAAACAGGTTTTTTTTCCTGATTTTGAGATATGGCAGCGCTTAGAAATTCGCATATAATATATTATTATCCAGCTAATTAACTTATATCATTGTATTGGAGCCGCCCGATATTTATATGAATTTAGACATAA